ACTTCAACATTTAAAATATATTATTTTTTTTATTAGTAGGCCATGATAAATAACATAAAAATCAAAATGGTATACTAAAATAGTCATACACATATTAAAATTTTATTTGGGATTGATATATTTTATTTTTGAACTGTTACCACTGAATCTCTAGTGATGATATGAATATATTTTTCTTTCTTTATAACGGAATTTGTTATAACGGGATGGGTTTGTAAATATCTAAAACCTTGCATAATTAAAGCATTTTCCAGGTGTTCGTCATTGTATTAGTTGCCACGATATATTTCATATTTCAAAAATCCCCAAAATCAGGCAGAAATCGAGAAAGGACAAATCCGGGAATCAAGGAGCCTATCAATGGATCCATTGGTCCCAATTCATTGATCTGGCAAATAGTCATTTAACAAAATTCTAATATTTTCGTTGTAAGTTAAGTTACGAGGGGAAGCCCCATCTTGCTGAAAGTATATTTCACGTAAATTAGTTAAAGGAATATTTAAAAGTTCCGATACGATAGGTTCCAAGATTTACAAATAGCGGTAGAGAATTAAGTTTCCCTAATATATAAAGAATTTATTAGTGGCTCTCAAAATAAAACAAGAGACAGATAGCAGTATACTATTAATAATTCTTTAGTTTCTTTTATTATTAATCATGGCCTACTAAAATATAATCTTTTAATATTTTTCTAAAAATATTGCAGTAAATAGTGAAAATAAATATCGAGTGATATATATTTTTGAGAAGCTTATGGCAAACCAGATCATATAATTTATAAATATACAGGGTGTTCCATTTAAGAAAACCTAACTTTAGTTCATATCTTTAAAAATATCCTTTTCGTAGAGAAACAGACTACGCCACTGTATTCTACGTAAAAAGTTCTACAATAAAAAGTTTTCACCTTCTCGATACCTTTCGCAATAACAGAGATACGGGGGGTGTCCCAAATTGCAAAATTTTCAAAAAGACCCTGTAGCTCAGAAACAAAGTGGGCTCTGAAAATTTTGTTTACAGCATCTTTCGTTTGACAAAAAAGTGGCACAGGTTTGCGCAAACCGCATCCTTCTATCTTCGCTAATAACGGAGATACCGTATGATTTCAACCAAAATGGGACACCCTGTACTAACCTTAAAGGGGAATCTTTTCAATACTGTCTCGAGGTTGGTTATTTAATTTTTTGGCAGAAATGAAACCCTCGGTATATAATATACTACTATGATTAAAACATTTACGTGGAAAGTCATTAGTATTATTTACAACGGTAAAAGTTGTATAAAGTCGCATAGATCTAGTCATAATAGATATGCTGTAAAGCTACTGGTGCTAATAAATACCTATTCTACTTGCCAGATATACTTTTAAATCTAATTTTAAGACCGGTTGACACGGATGGACTCCGGTTGACTTGGCTACCATATAAATATACTTATATGGATGTTGCGCGCGTCTCACTTTGACGCTGTTTGTATAGTATCAACTGTTAGATGTTTTATATGTATGAAGTCGAGTTGGGAGGGTTCGTAGCATCCAAGTAAGTTGGAAGCCAGCCTACTTACTTTGATGTTAAAAAGCCTTCCAACTCGACTTGGATATAACAGTCGATACGAGCAGCGTACAAGTGAGACCTGCGTAGGCAGCATCAGAGTGTACTTAGTCCAGGAGTGCTTGGACCATGTCGTCCCTTTTTTAGTAAGTGAAGATTGCCATTCCATAAATGCGACAAATTTAACAAAATTGAACCATTATTTTATGAAGTACTTATTTTCAAAAAATGTTTATTGTAGTTGTATGTTTAGTTTTTGATATCTTTTTTAAATTGTAGCGTGTATTGGAAGTGGTATAGATTTCAATTTATATTATTCTAATAGTAGATAATAGCCTAACTACTACTTGACTGATAGTTTTATATATTTTATTACTCTGAGGCAATTTTATCTATTTACTAGTAAAACTATAAAAAAAATTGGGCAATTTCGTCTGGTATATTTTAATTAAATTTTCTTATACACTTTTTATACTAATATTGATACTTTTATATATTATGTATGTTACATATTTGTTTTAAATACCTATTTACTCATTTTAGTTTATATATTAAATGTTTTTTTTTTAATAGGAGAGTTTATATAAGTGCAATATTTTAGAACCAATGTTCTATATTACGTTGTATTTATAATTAATAAAAATAAATTATATTATGAAACTCGTTTTATCTTTACTGTACTTTACCCCAGTTTTACTATACCTACACCTATATGTATATAGTTTATAGTAAAAATATATTATGTTTATAACTTGGATTATATAAAATATTATCTGTGATATTTATAAAATAAATTAACTACATCAGCAACCTTTATCACAATAATCCCCAAATTAAATAGAATTTGTTATTATTGATTAGTGCGAGTGGATTATGGTAAGCTATGTCGGCTAGTATTATAAACATGAATTATGTAAATATAATATTTAAGCAGATATTGATCTGATTTTGCCCGTTATGTGTTTAATAATTTATGTTGTTTAGTGAACGTTTCTTTTTTGCTTTTGGAAAATGTTAAACTTCTAGGCAGTTTTTTTATAAATAAATAACTTCAGTTTCGTGGGGTCGTAGATCTGCATAAAAGAAACATTTTTTGTATTTACCATTTTGAAAATAACCGAGTTATTTAATTTTGTCAAATTAAAAGAATAATTCTTACATTTTGAGAGCCGCCTGCTCCCAGTTTATTCGACGCCCAGTGTTGCCACGCGGACAAAAAAATATACTTTTAACTTGATTACAAATACTTTATAAGATACTGGTAAGAGAGTCTGCATTCATCATTTTTAGGATTTATTCTTTCAGTTATTTCAATTGATTTCAGTTGAAAATAACTGTAAACATGTATTAGTGTGTGTTAAAGAAAATCAGTACGTCTTTCTAAAATTATTAGTAATGCCACTGATATAATTAAAATTAATTTTTGTAATTTCTACTGTAGAAAATTAAAATTACTGGGTACTTATGAAGAAATAAATATGCAGAATATGGGTAACGTAGGAGGTGGCAACATTGCAAGGCTTCCATACTAGACTATCAAGGAGTTGAGAATAAATAAATCTGTGGCACTCAAAAGTTTTTTAAAATTTTCCGAAACATGTCAAGAAAAATGTAAAATTACTCGAATTATACAGGTTGACCCGAGTTGTATTCAGGAAACTTCGGTAATCATGTCCTAAACTGCTTCGTTTTGGACATGTGTAGAAAAATACGAACTTTTTTACTTATATTTATCGGTAGAATATGCTGCCGAAGTTTCACGAATACAATTTGGACCACCCTGTATATTGAATTTTTGTTTTAGATCTAATGAGTATTAGAAAGTGGGTGATTTATACAAAAAAAATATAATTAATTATTAAAATCCTAAGTATATTGTATTTCATAACCTGTATTGTTTTACATTGTTTAAAAAAAATAAACAATAATTGCAATCTATTTTTTAGATTACGATTTCATAATAGATTGTATTTTAATTGATACAATTCTAGAAATCTCTAATTTGAATTGCACATATGCTTTTTTAAACCTAATCATGACATTGATTCTGATTAAATCAATTTCAACCCAACAAGGTCACAATAATCTCAATATCAAACAGTAAAAATAGTCTTAAAATTGTTTCACACGTTTTTTTGGAGATTATACTGGAATTAACAGTCATTATAATTATTGAATTGAATTAAGAAATATTTCTGGAATTGTATAAGGTGATTTTCTTACGTTATAAGGTGATCGATGTTATCTTTTTTTCGTAATTAGAAAAAAATGTGCTTCATCAGATACTGTTTCAAAGATTATAAGAAGCTTTTTTAATTATTTCTTAATTTCAATTATATTTAAGAAATAGTATCTAGACCTATTTCATTTGTATAATGTAATGAAAGTGGTCTAATGATAGAAGTTTTTTCGCTTTTTTTTTTAAATTCTAGGAATAATTAAAACAATAGATGAAAACGACCTATACCGGGTGTTTTTCATGTGACCCATAACTTTTTTTATTTTTTCAGATAAAAAACGAGTTTTGGAATTTTATTATATGACATAAATCATGATTGATTGACGTATTCAACTAGTTTCGGTCATTTCCTGTTCGTACAATTGGTATTTTTTAAATTTATTTGATTGAAAATGATATTCTGAATAGAATAACATTTTATATGTCAACTTGCCATTTTCAATTAAAATAAAATAGTATTTTAAATTTCAATTTAGGGTGCCATGGCTGTGTTAAAACCACTTATTTTTAATCAAGGAGCTTTGGAAAAGTAGTATAATTGGATAGTTTACTGTTTTTCGTGTCTTATCCTGGTGGGTTGAAAGATGCCCAAATCGTATTTTTAATTTTAACTCATTTTTTCAAATGGAACGAGGGTGGCTTATTAGCATATTTGGAAAAAGCATTTTTTTAACGAATAATTTGGCAGTTCGAGTCAAGTTGTCATTATATTTATTGTTGTGACACACTATATTGAAATTTAAAATTCAGTTTTTTAAGCAAAAATATGAAAAGTTGACATATGATATGTCGCTATGTATTTAGAATGTTTTTTTTTTCTATCAAATAAAGTAAATATATACCGAGGGTACCATTTAAAAATCAAAACTTGTAATCATTTCCGGCGAAACAGGAAGTGACCGAAAATAATTGAATACGGCAATCAATACTGATATATGTCATATACTAACATACCAAATTTATTTTTTTCTGTCTGAAAAAATAAAAATAAAATTTTGAAAAAGACCCAATATTATTGAACTACTCACTATATCATTGACACATAAGAACACTAATACAATATGGTGAAGATTGCTATGAAATGAAGATCGCTGTCATTTTATATTTAAAATTATATAGATAATGCCATCAATTGTTATTTCTAAGCCAACTGGACGCCGTTACTACGAAACAGAAAAAAATATATATTTTTATTTTCATTTTTTTTTCAGTCGACTTGTGCAGAAGCTCCTTTCAGCGACGAACTTTTAGCTGAACGAGCTAGGAATCTCTGTGATTATACTCAGCGCATCTCCTACGAGATGGCGCGCTTAGGCAACGCACCTAGACCCGTGCGAGTCTACGCAGACGGAATCTACGATCTGTTCCATCAAGGTCACGCCAGACAGTTGATGCAAGCCAAGAACGTCTTTCCCAATGTTTATTTGATCGTTGGAAGTAAGTTATCAATCTAGATTTTTAATAAATATTTATTTTTCCAATAATAAAAGGCTGTCCTGTGCCGGAGCCACTGTGACCTTTAAGGTCTATTGTGTTCTGTGATTGTGTTTGTGTTCTTTCTGTGCCTTCCCCCACTCTTCTGTCTCCCCACTCTTCTGTCCTACAGCAACTTGTGCAGGTCCTTAATATATGGGAGCATATTTCATCCGTTGCTTTCCCAAATAGAAGGTCTTTCCAAAAAAGTCCTATGGGTATAAAATTTACAATATAAAATAGTTATTCTTTGTAAACACTGCTGCGTTAATTCAACGAAGACTAATTGTCAGCAGTGGCTGACTAATAAACAAATTTGCCTAACGGACAAAAAATGCTTAACGTTTCGAAAAGTATTATCTCTTTCCGTCGTCGCACAGTGGGCAAAAATCCAGAAGTATGTTGCAAAAATTCTTTTTTTGTACGATTTAATTCAAATTTGGTAAAAACATTCTATGCTAGTAGCCCGTGAACCCAGTTAGTTTTGGCTGACTTGGGAGTGGTTGGGGGTGGTGGGGGGGATTCATAAAATGGGAAAAATCTATTGACTAATACAGCTACCAAAAGGCGGTAAGAATATTTTATATTTCACTAAATTTTACGATTTTTGGCAGAGCCAAGATGAAACAGACAAATATTGAGCAATTATTACTCCTCCGGCATATACAGGGTTTGTTTTATATATTGACATCCTCTGTATATTTTTTATTCGACGTTTTCGAAAAAAGTGTCTTGAATAAAAGTTTAATGGTCTCGAATATATTTTTCAAAACAGTCTTCTTTGCATATACAGGGTGCCTTAGAAATCCTGTGCGTGGCCCAACTTTCTTATTTCAAATTAGTACCCAATTTGATTTTTATTTTCTCCTAAAAATCCTAACTACTTTTATGTAGCATAGCCTATGCCATTGTTTATATATTCTTCTATACCTAATTTGATATAAGATAGTTGAACCATGCCCAGACTTTTTGGCAAATTTATTCAAAACCACTTTCATTTGAGGCAGTTTTCAGAAACGTCAAATAAAAAAGATAAAGGGGGTGTCAATGTATAAAAGAAAACCCTGAGTATACTAATCCAATCTATTCAAGATTGTCATTTCAATAAGTTTGGTCTCTAATAATACCAGACAATATGTGAACAATATTTTATGATTATATTTTAAATAAGTGTATTCTGAGAATTAAACAATGAGGATTTAGAAAATAACAGAACTTATACCTATTAAAAATATCTAAATTTTATTTTACCATTTACTATTTACTGATATTTTGTTTTATAACAGCTGGATGCAATGGTCACGAAGTGCACATTTTTAAATCTGAAAGAAGAATCCATTTCATTTAATTTAAAAAATTTGGTACTGTCAAAATTTGTCAATTTGTCAAAAAATGTCATTTGACATTTATGACATACCTCTTCGGAAATCTTGAGAAAAAAACAACGTAACTTTATATAGTTGTTCTTCTCTAGCTACTATAACAATTGAATTTATGGTATCCACATAAAGGATCTTACTATACACATACGCATGGAGGCTTGTGAGCTTCCAATGTTTAATGTTCGGATTTTTTTATGATTTTTTTCACTCAACTTTTCTAAGACAGAATATATGCCACTATCAAAAACCTTAAATGATTATGTTCTACTTTTGACCTTTACCTAGTTTTTTTATCCAAAATCAAAATAAAAGATACTTTTTACTTACCTTGACATTAAATTTACTGCAAATCGGGAGTCTACGTAAAACACTGTTATGACAATTTCACAATAATTATTGACAGCAAAGCTAAAAATCGTCCGATTCAATTGTTATAATACTGTGTCACTTGAATGCAACGCCTACCATTTAAAAATTGTAGAAAAAGGCAGTTATTGGACACAAATTAACTGAAAATGGTGGTTTTGCGCAAAGTTCGTTTTAGCTCCCTCGAAAGAGACTCCGAATATGTTTTTTTGTTAGTTTTATGTGGTTTCCTCTTAACTAATATGTTTCCAATCTAATGTTATTGCCATAAATGCTAACTGTGGATGTTATTTTTTGCAACTTGGTTTGGACATATTGCCTACTGTGCGTCGGAAGCAAAAAAAAACACAAAGAACAAAGAAAAAAAAATTAAAATATCTAAATGCAACTATCCGAAAACACTTTGGTTTTTTAAAACAGATACGTCTACAAAAACCATTGACGTTCTGTTAAAATGACATAATATCAAGTTAAACTTCAAAATTAACTATTACTACCTGATAACAATTACTTAATAAGGTAAAACCAAAAAGTTTCAAACTTTCTGTATGATTATTTTTAATTTGTTTTTAGTTTTTACGTCTGTTATGTTTATTTATGTTATGTTCTTTAAAATCAAAGAAGCGATTGCCATACATAACTAACATCTACAGATGAGTAATACATTTATTTTTATAAGATGGTATTAAAAATGCCTCTTTTATTTTTCTTTTAGAGGCTATCTTGATCTCTTCTTTCATTATAATTTTTGCGTTGTTTCCAAAATCTACTCTGTGCCCTGTGTCCCATGAATGCTGACAAATCTTAGATTTATGAAAGTCGCCCTTTCTTAAATAAATTCTGTTGTCCAGTGTTCATTGGTTTAGTTTGTGTTAAAATGGATCTAAGTGTGTTTGTGTTTTGAAAGACGTTCGTCTGTTATATTATTTTTCTATCCTTATTTTTTCCGAATATAAAATAATAATATTAATTCTATCCTTAATAATTAATAATTAATATCCTAATATTTTTTCTATCCTTATTTTTCTGCACGACTGTTTCAGGAGCTTTATCACAGAGGAGTCTGTAGCAAAGACCTCCTTGATACAGGTCGCGCTTGTTCAGGTAGCACTTGACAGCCATATGTCTTGTCAAGAGGCCTGTTGTAATCCGCACTTTATAGAGACAAAGTGCTAATTCTGCTTAGCATCTGCGCATTATCAGTAAATAGTTTTCTTATCTCGTATTCGTTTCAGTTTGTAGTGACAGGCTGACCCACAGTAAAAAAGGTCGCACCGTGATGAACGAACAGGAGCGATACGAGGCCGTGCGACATTGTCGGTACGTGGATGAGATAGTGAGGGATGCCCCATGGGAGCTGGACGACGCTTTCGTGGAAAAGAATAAAATCGACTTCATCGCTCATGACGACATTCCATACGGTGCCGACGACACCAATGACATTTACGCCCCGTGGAAGGCAAAGGTAAATATCAAATACATTGAAGTCTTTTAAATTTATTTTGTAAATATTTAAAAATAAAAATGAAGGAGCCAGGAGCAATCTTTACTTATATAGAAATCACAAAAATGGCACTTAATCTTTATAAAAATTAAAAAATTAAGGACAACAATAAAGAGTAATAAAATCACACAACTATTTTTCCAATAACGATTGCATTGTTCTCCAAGCTCGGTCTACTACCGTTCGCGTATAAAAATTAGACGATGCACCTTGTGAGTAAAAATTCGACAAATTTGCAAGTTGAGAGTGTGTTTTGCGGTGACATACACGCCGTCCACAAGGTCCACGTGGACACTATTCAAATGTGTTTTATAATAAATTGTACTATAATAATCATACTTCAATATTGTGTCTGCATTCTTACTACCTTCTACATCCCACTAGTCAACTCGCATACCCAACAATGTTGCCGTTTGCTGTCGCCTTATTTTATGAACGGTTTACACAATTGGGTGTACATATACAAGACATGACATGAAGACATGAGACAATGAACATCGATGACATTCTCCATATAATTTATTTGGTTAATAAATAAGTGAAATGAATACCAGTATTTCTAACAGCAGTGTTTGCTGCGAATGTAATCGCAGTTTTGTGTGTTTTAGTGTGCTTCGGAAACACGTTAAAAAAATTCATCCAAATCAGATAGAGGAAATAGCACCTTTAAAAACTAATGTATATGCATTTACCCGCGAAATTTGTACTAAACATTATAGTGCAAAGAAGTGTTTAGCATGGTATTTAAAATCACATGCACAAGTGGCACAAGGTAATTGACCAAATTATCGAAGAAGTGAGGCAGAGTCAAGTGTTACGCATTGTCATCCAGGATATTAGTAATGATGGTGCATAAACTTTGACTGTGTCTCTCTTTGTCCTCTTTAAGAATAGAAAATTTGACCGTAATATTCTTGATTGAGGGATAATCATAGAACAGGTGATGGTTTAAACACAGATTATACAGATTATAAACTTTGTTTTTTCTTTATTGTTTTTCGTGGTTCCAATTTTCGGAATCGGGCACTAGTTAGGTTACTAGTTTGCGCACATAGCACGCCCACTTGTGGCCTCTAAAATTGTGCACAGCGCCTGACCGGCACAGTTATTAGAGAGATATCGGAAAACCGAATAGCGTCATGCAGTATTGACGCGTACCTTATCATGGTTACGATATGCGCGAGTCAATTTTTAATGCAACACCCGCTAATAACGGTACCGCCTGATGTAATTTGCGGATAAATTACACCAAGCGCTATTTCTAAATAACGTTTAAAAATTGCTTAAATGGGCATGTGCGGGTATTTACAACCTGGGCCGGCCGGCGAGATTTTATTTTAGGTTATGTTTGAATTGTTTTGAATTATTACTTAGTTTTATTAGGTAATCTGATATTTAAGTAGCTGGGATTAGTTTTAATTATATAAATATGGCCCAAAATATGGATTCCACCTCTTCCAATATTAAAGAACCTATATAAAGAGGCGGTATTACCAAAGAGGCTTAGGTTTACAGCAGACTTAGCCCTTCTAAGAGAATTTGTTGCTTGTTGCCCCAAACCCATTGGCAGACGTTGATCAATAAAGCACTGGAAATAAGTACTTTAGCCCTTTAGTTTTAAAATACCTGGTAAACAAAACAATTTCAAAGTTTTAAATTCAAAGTTAGGTTAAGTTTAAATAGCGGACGCGACGCGAACAGAATTCTTTCCGATCCGATAACTATAAATGAAGAGAGTTAATACCACCTCACGTAAAGGAAATAACACCTGGCCTTATTAACTTCCATGCACGCTATTCGGTTTAGCGATATCTCTCTATTACGCTGTTTATTGTTATTTTACGCGAGTTTATTTTTGCGCACAGGAAATTTTACTAATTTGCACATCGTCATAAAAAACTATTTTCGTACCACGAATTAGGGACAAGATTTTTATCTGTATACTTGTAGGATACCTAATCTGTGGTTTAAATAATAAAGCAATATCCCTGTACAAAATATTAGAAAAAAATGTCTTATATGTGATTTTGTAGATTTAAAGATGACTTACATGAACTTTTCCTCAGCAGAAAAATTGAATTCACGGTGTTCTCAAAATAAATAAAATATAATATTTGAATTCAAAAATATATTTTCTTATATAAAAATAAAAATACCTAAATGGAATAAAAATATTTGAATTTAATTTTTAACAAGTAGATTTTAAATCTCTAATAACAGAATAAACAGCCTACACTAAAATGCACAAAACTTGGTATTCATTTCACTTATTCTTGCTTTATCTGATATTCTGATTTACTATTAAGAACGTTCTAACAAAATAAACCAAATAACAATCAACTTTGAAATAAACGTCTCTAGCTTCTCTGTCTCTAGTGTCTAGCTGACAATTGAAAATCATGAAATTAAGGGACAACAAACGGCAACATTGTTGGGTATGCGAGTTGACTAGTGGGACGTAGAAGCTAGTTGCATTCTTGAAATTTCTTTAGTAGACCCATATCAAGTAGACTGTGCAATTTTTCTTTTTTAGGGTATGTTTGTAGCGACTGAACGTACGGAAGGAGTGTCCACGTCGGACATAGTAGCTCGAATAGTACGCGATTACGACATCTACGTGAGAAGAAACCTGGCTCGAGGGTACTCGGCAAAGGACCTCAACATTTCCTATCTAAGCGAGAAGAAAATTCGGTTGCAGAACAAAATGCACGAGTTGAAAGACAAAGGGAAACGGGTGATGGATTCGATCGGTGAGAGAAAAGACGATATGATCGCGAAATGGGAGGAAAAATCTAGGGATTTTATCGAGAGCTTTTTGTTGCTGTTTGGAGCCGAAAGGTAAGCTATAAAACGTAATATTTGCATACCTAGTTTTTTTTCGCAAATGATTTATTAAAAAAAAAATAAGGATCTAATTTAGATACAGATTTGAATGATTCAAATTACGGTTACTTTTAGGTGTATTTATTTTTTTAAATATTTTCTACTTTTTAGCATATCCGGTTTAACCGAATTAGGGAATGCAATCCCGCACCAAAATTTCAATCCCACAAACCCGCGGGATTAAAGCAATCAATCCCGCGGATCCGCAAAATTGCGGTACAATTGTAAACAATAGTCATACATTTGGTACTAAATGGTACAAAAGGCATTGTACATTTTGCATAGGCCCACAATTAATTGATATAGCGTGTATCTTAAACTAGCTGTACAGAAATTTGGACCGATGTGTACAGAGTGTTCAAAAAATATATTTAATATTAAATAAACTTAAATTTTATTATAATTTATATACTTATTTTATAAATAAAAATATTATTGTGATGTTAAAGTTTTTTTTAACTTGTGTTAGTTATCTGCTTTTAGATCTCTATTACAATAATTTTTTGGCATATGCAGAATGTACAAAGCTTTTTGTACCATTTAGGACAATATGTATGACTAAAAATGCATATTTTCCGAAAAAATATCGTATTTTCGTTTCCTTTTTTAAAAATATCGTCCTTTTCCCAACAAAAAAATATTTAAAAAACGATCAATTTTTTTTTGTAATTTCAATACAGATTAGTCGTACTTGGTAAAAATTTCGATTTTTTAAAAATTGTAAATTTGCGGTAAAAAAGATTCTTGATCAAATTTTCACACTCTTATAAAACACCCTGTATACGGGAATTCTCTAAATATATTTTCGAAAACCACATAGCATCTTAATCACAATAGATGCATCTAAAACCTGGTCCAAACCGCATCCCAAAATCTTTTTTAGTTCAAGAGATATTTAACTTTAAATTTACCCTAAAATTTTGCTTGTCCCGATAATTACGTCCGGCAGTATATTTGACGAAATTGTCCACAAGTACTAGTTAGCCGCTTTTCTTCACTTACGCACATACGCTAGAAAGAAAGAAATCTAACAACTAACCTGTTTGTTTCACTTATTTTTAATGGCCAAGCAGTAAGGGGAATCCCCCGGGTTCCGAGCGTCGACGCATCGGCCCGGAACGAAGCGGTTTGATCTTGATTTAGATCGATTTGTTTACCCAGTAGTAACGTGTCGATCCCGCAGATCCCGCACGGTAAATCCCGCAACTTTGATCCCGCGAAATCTCAGAGGGATCCCGCATTTGCGGGATCCAGCATTTGCGGGATTGCATTCCCTAAACCGGATGTAGCTGCCATATTCTTTATTGTGTATTTATCTCAATCGGTGGCATGAAAACAAATACTATACAGGGTAAGTCTTAAATAAGTGCAAATATTTTTAGATCTGGTAGATCTCGATAAAAGAAACATATTTTCTCTGTACCCTCTTTCAAATAAGACCAAAATAACCGAGTTATTTTATTCTGAAAATTTATAAAAAGAGTTATTTTGCTTTTGAGAACCACTCTTCTGTTTTTTTTTTCTTATAAATTTAATCTACTACCTATATTGCCATATTATTAAGAATTTATGTTTTTAACTAAAAAAATTTTAAATTTTGATTTTTTTTCGCAAAAAAACATAATCGTGTTTCTGGGGTCTAAATATACTACCCGTAAAAATATTTGCACTTATTTAAGACTCACACTGTATAAAAAAATCGGTTTATACAAATCGAAAGTTCATTACAGTCTTGGTCATGCCAAGAAGATATTTTATTTCACAATTCGCCATTGTCTACCATTTTTAACCAATATAATTTTTAACAGAATTTTATTATTCCGCGAAATAAAAATGTTATGGGCAATTTTCAAAATGCTAAAAAATTTAAAAAGAACCCGTATCTCAGTTGGCACTGAAAATATCAACAGGCGGTTTATACCATAAAACGTTTCTCAGAAATCGAGCCCATGACATCTATATGTCGGTTTTGCTCTATCTAGTCAGGAAATAGGTTTTCTCTGTTAAAACAGACCAATTTCGACCACCCTGTACATAAAGAAAAACATCTTACAGGTTGACGAATATCTGGCAGGAGAGCAAAGACAAGATCCTGAGCGCCCTGAGTCCCCCCGGATCCCCCACGCCGAGCACCCCCTCGTCCAATGGCGACTACCAGTTCCTAGAGGACGGCATCCCCCCCAGGAAAACCCCCCGTTACGAATCTCGCGCGTCGCGCAGCACCTCGCGCGTCAGCCTCTACAACAACCACGACGACTACAGCGACGAGGAGGACAGCTTCGCGTCGGCGCAGAGCTAGACGAGTGGCCGGCGCGTCGACGTGTAGGTATAGTCGGATGATGGGTATACCTAGAGCGCGGAGGGAGGAGTTATTTAATTTTTTTTGGCGGTTTGAGTGCGTGTATGTGAGAAAAGGCAAAGTTTCTACGGATTTTAATCGGGAAACTTAAAAAAAAATAATTAAAAAAGTTCGTATCAAATCGTGTCCTAAAAATGCTTTGTAGGGTGAGACAAAAAAATTAACCTATGGAATTTATGGGTTAAAATGAATCTAATAACCGAGAGAAAAATATCCCCGGAAGGCAGCATTTTTAGCTCAATTTTAAAAGGTGTTGGTGAACATTCAAAGTTTTCCATGTAAATAACACGTAAAAAAATATTTTTCCATTAAAAGTACCATAACTTGGAAACGGTTTACGATAAAAAAAATTTACATCGCGAATTCTTGTAGAGCATAAAATTTCCTAAAAAAAAACTATCTGAGAGTATTTTTTTTCAATTCAATAATTCATATATGAGAAAGCTTTGAAAAGTGAAAAAAAAAATCAAAATATGCAGTTTTAGTGTTTATTGATTACAAATTTTCATATTTAGCAAAAAACTTAATTACTCTCAGATAGATTTTTTAGGAAGTTTTATCACAGATTATACAGATTATAATCTTTGTTTTTTCTTTATTGTTTTTCGTGGTTCCAATTTTCTTAGTTAGGTTACTAGTTTGCGCACATAGCACGCCCACTTATGGCCTCTAAAATTGTGCACAGCGCCTGACCGGCACAGTTATTAGAGAGATATCGGAAAACCGAATAGTCATAGAATATTAAATTGTGATAAAAAATAATTAGGCAACTAGTTCAACACAAAATCAAGGCCTGCTTCGATACAAAGATAAAAAAACCTAATATTTCTCTCATTCTTAGAAATAAATACACATATCTTTATATCGTTGGAAAGAGTTAAACGCCAGCATTTTTTTAAGTTCATAGCCAACTATGATTTCCATTTAAAAAATTATATTTTTTATTATTTCTGACAAAAAGAGCATGTATAGAAAAAAACTGACTACGCCACTGAATTGTGCTTAAAAAAGTGCCTTAAGAACGTTTTTACAGAATTTTATTATTCCGCGAAATACAAAAGTTATGAGCAATTTTCCAAATGGTAAAAAATTCAAAAAGGCCCCGTATCTTTGTTGGCAGTGAAAATATCAACAGGCGGTTTAGGCCACTAATCGTGTCTCAGAAATCGAGCCCATGACATCTATGTCGGTTTTACTCTATCTAGTCAGGAAATAGGTTTTCTCTGTTAAAACACCAATTTCGACCACCCTGTACATAAACACCTGTTCCAAAACGAAGCATTTTAGGACGTAAATGTATACGAACCTTTCTACTTTCTATTTTTCATTTTATTTCCTGTATATATAGGAATTTTTATGCAGTTGATCTATTAAAAAAAATTGAATATAGTTTAGATACAAATTTCTAAATGTTTTTCTAATATTTCAAGGTGTTTTTTTTAAACATTTCCCACATTCTGGTTTTCCCACTTCTGATTATCCTGAAATGGCAGTCAAATTGCTCTTTATTTTAAATAAAACATCTATAGTTTTTTTTTGTTTTTAGAATTCTATACGAAATTATATATTAACAATGTGCAATGAGTGCTAACGTCCACAGTACTACAGCACGACAATAATATGACGTAACGTTGAACGTTACATGTCCTAACTGACGTAATCATCATTGTTTTATGGATTAACCATATGTTCGAAAAAAAATCCGTCAAGTTGGTCATATAATTTTATATATGAAATGACAGCGATCTTAATTTTCAAGCCAACCTATTCTCGATAGTGTATTTATTTTTTAGTTATATTTTTGTTAATTTATTTTTAGAAAATACTTTTTATTTCGAATTTGTATGCATGAAAGGAATTTCAGAAGTATATGTTTGCATGTAAAAAATATGTAAAAATAAATTATAATATATTCCGTAATGTAGGTATGGAACAAAGTAAATTACATAATATTTTTTTAGATAATCAAATTACGTGGATGATGTACGAAACTTTGCCTTTTCAGTTCGAAATTTTCGGTTAGGAAAAAATTATTTATTTTCTTTTTATTAAATTATTCAATTTGTCTATTTTTTTTGTTTTATTTTTTTAGATTAGGAGAATGATATTGAAGTGTTATTGCCGAGGGCTGCATATTGAAATATACCATTCCTTTTATATATTATTATACAAAATATAGCAATTTTTTGAATAAATCACTTGAAATTTTATTATTACAGTAGGTCGTATGTAGTGTACCATTTCTGAGCACTGAATGATAACATGAAGAACTAAAATTGCAATGGTCATGCATCAAATATTCTGTTTTAATTTATTGGTCATATAATAACCGTATGATCGAAAAAAATTCTTGGCCAACCTGGACTCGTTTGGTATTTGATGCAATTATTTTATGGATAGTATTAATATTGCGATTGTGATAACTCCAAAAAAGCTTAGTAATATGCCAAGCCCTTGTAAAAAAGTGATCCTTTGTATGTAAAATAATGTTAAAGTTTTTATATTTTTCTTTTAGTGTTTTAGTACTGTTCCACACAGGGTTTGAAACTAATTTATTTATTGTAGGGAAATTATAACATTTTACCAAAATAATATAAAAAATTGCCAAGAATATTTAGAGAAATCTTGTTATATAGGGTGTTCTTGTTAAAAAAAACTTGAAACAAGTTCAAAATTCAAGGACCAAATGTTCTGAATTGTTTCAATTTTTTTTTGGGAACAAGTTTTAAAAATAATTAAACGGCTATATACCTAGTTGCAGTTATTTGGGTTTTTTGAAAATAATGTTCACAATGCTTGTTGCACGTTTTAGATAATAAATAGAAATACTGTGTATAGTTTATACACAAAAAGAAATTTTGTACCGTATGTTATACAAGTTTTATTTTTAAAAAATATGTAGTAATAACACAAAATCCAGATTCATAGTTCTAAAATGTATATTTATAGTTGCTTTCTTATATTCTTGGTTCGAACTATCGTACAATCGAAAAAAACGGCGTCATAGTGATCTTTGAAAAGACGATCATTGATCTAAATTTCGTGGGATGAATCAAATCTCAATAAAAAATTACACCTCAATATAATAAAACTTACAGTAAAAATGATGTTTTAAAAATGATTTTATCCAGTAAAAAAAACGGCGTTAAGTTGGCTTAGAAATGACAATCGATTGCATCATTTCCAAGTCAAAGCTGACACTTTTTTTATTTATATAGTATATTGAGTAGAAGAGGAAGAGGTGTTGTTCATACTTAACAGCAAAAATTAGGACAGCTAATTTCACTTTGTTTATTTGACAAAAAAATTGATCGTCGTTTCAAAGCGTACTGTGACGCTTTTTTTATTCGATCATATTGTTTTACTATTGTTATCTTGTTATTCAAATAAATAATAATGAATATTTGTTGATTTGGTGTGAACTAGGTTGATTTTAGTTACCTATTTTTAAACTAACTCAGGGTAGAGTTAGTGCCAAGATATTTAAAGTGGCATTTTTGGGCATTGAAAGAACATTTTAGAAATATCTATCTGGAACGTTGATAATACAACTTATTTATTTCTGCTTTGTGTACTGTGAATTCAATATACCATATGATTGAAAAAAAACGGCGTTAGAGTTTCCTTTGAAATATCAATTAATGGTAATAAGTTTTTTCTGGTCAACCTTTAATATATTATATAATTTATTAAAAATTGACATAAAATTTTCTTAAAAATAATAATTTTTATGGAAAAAATAAGTTATCATCGATTGTTATTTTAAAGGCATCTGTTACGCATTTTTTTTTCGATCATATGGTACATAGTGTATAATTAAATTACCACACTACTTCTCAGAATACCAAAAAAGACATTTTTGTTTGAAAAGAAACATACAGTATTAATAAGGATGTATATGATCAATATATAGTCTGTCCAACGAGACGATACATGACAGTTGTGTCTGTCATTTTATTCTACGGGTAAATTGTGTTTTCTGTGAATTTTTGAATGTCGTCTGTAGTCTGTCGAAATCTTTTGTGTCTCAGACTTTAGAAAAAGTATATTTGTATCATCCTTATAAATACTTCCAAAGAAATATTCACTGATTTGTATTTATTTTTTCTTGTGATCTGATTTCTACAAAAGGATGAACTATTTTTGTAGAATGTTTATACTGTTTTGTGTTATTTATAAATGCAAGGAAAATATACGATTTATAAGCAAAGATACGGTTTTTATTTTACCTTTTCTATATATTATTATTAATCAAATTATTAATAACATATGACCTCATATATGTTTTTATTCGTCAATATTCAATAGTAAAAAATTAGTCAACAAAGATAAAGTTTTTCCTGGTAAAAATTGTACTGTAATTGCCAAGCTAGAATATTGAATAAAAATTTAAAAATAACTGAAAGCTGACTGAAAGTATTCAATGAATTCATATTTTACGTCGCCGACTTGCTATTTGCTATCTTTGTTCTATTAAAGGCTTTTCAATATGCTTGTCCTAGTCAATTCTATTGTGATGTAAACATCATTTTAAATAGTCAATATTTGTTAATTTTATCTAATGTAAATATCCTTTTAATCAAGATAATTTTTTCAAGGTGTGCCTCTATTTATTTTTCAAATTTGTTTGTTTAATAGATTATAAATTATAAATGAAATGATATTAATCATATGATTTTAAAAACTGCGATGACGTGAAGAGAGAATTACCGTGATGTGTTGCAAAGTCGCCCACCGGCGGAAGTAACCGAAATTTAACTGACCAATGAAATCGCAAATTTCAACTTCAAACTTCAAAATTTCAGATGATGCATTTTTCTGCCAACCTAAAAGTGAAATTCTCAATAAAATGTCCTTTTTATTCCTTAAATTTCTAACACCAAAAGGTATACTAAGGCAGAATTTATGGAGATAACGTTTCAGTTCGATTATTGTTAGTGCGGACGTTTTTTTTGTGTTTTGAATTGTAGCTTCTGTAACTAAAATTGAGGGCCAAAATGGACGAAAATAACGCTCAAATACAATCACAAGGATCTGTTTGCAGTGATTCCAATGGTGAAGATACGTATAAAAACGACGGAGGTATACGAAGATCCAATTCCTACAAAGCTAAAGTTCGGGATTAAATTGTTATTTAAAGTCCTCACAGGTTATGTTGATTTACCCAAGGTTAATTAGCTTGAAACTATGTAAAAACAGTTCAGTCCCACACTTTACGTTTTGTATATCAACAAAGTGCCAATTGAAACATTTAATCACGGGTTTTTTTAGAACCGTTATGCGCTGCTGATAGAAGAATATGTCTTATTGGGAATCTAGCGAGTGATACTAAACTACATTCAGTGGCAGAATCGTTTGGAGTACCTGTAGTTACTTCAGTGAACGGATTTGAATATGTTTTCGATGATTCGTGTTGCACATACTACATTATTGATAGTTTTGAGGGTGATATTTATAATGCTTTAAGTAAATCGAGACAAACTATATTAGGGCCTACGGCATTACAACAATTAGCTGCTAAGGAAAAGAAAGAATTACCAGATAACACAAGGCCTCTTTTTAATATTGCTATGAGAGGAGTTGTCGTATGTTTTACAGGATTTAGAAATAAAGATGAATTGGTAAGTTATATTTTAAGTAACAGATATATCAAACAAACTTTAAACTATAAACAACGGTATATTTTCCTCTGTAGTTTGTTTAATAATAATAAAAAAATGATTGTCGTTTAGATTTTATGTATTGTAAAATATCATCAAAAAGTACCGCTCAAACTTTCCTTGGAGGGGTTATCTAGTCCATAAAGTACCTATCATTTTGCGGCACATGGCCACTTTACAAAGTTTTTGTTATTTCGTGTAGAAATAAAAAATAATGACACTGATAGAGATAATGATTTTAAACAGCTTCTGTACTTTGAAGTGAGCGTTTATTAAGAAATTAATTGATTATTAAAATAAATAATAAATACCCAGTATGTTTACAGATAATAGCAATGTATATGGGGGTTAATCCATAAGTTTAAAAAGTATATTTATTTCTTTATGATTTAATAGCTCATAGCTAAACATGTATGGAAAAGCTCATGCTTTAGTTATTTTCTAGATTTTTAAATTAATTAAATTTTGAATTGCAAATGAGAAGTTGTAAAAAAATGATAAATCTTGTAAATCAATTTGTTTCATACAAAGTTACCCCCGTACAAACTGTTTTTCATGTATTATATCTATTAGTGTTGTTTTACGATTGTTGTTTCATAACAATTACTGATAAAACACCAATATATTTGATAAACCCCAAATTAAAAAATTAGTTTTGAAGTAAAATTGTTTACGCCAGACAGTCTGGTAACATAATTTACACATAGTATTTACAAACTTACTATTGATTATTGTTCTTTGGTTCAGACCAAACTGGTACCCCTAATTCACCATATGGGCGGTTCCATACGAAGAGATATGACAGCCAAAGTGACACATCTGATTGCCAATAGTTGTGGGGGTGACAAGTACCAATATGCATCCACTTTTAAAGTACCTGTCATGAATTTGCAGTGGGTTGTCGACAGCTGGGATCATAGATGTGATTTAGATTTTAGTTCATCTGTGGATTCTTTTGTGGTAAGTTAAATAGTGTTTACCATTTGTATTAGTGTTTTTTTTTCATATATTTACTGTTGTTATAGAGCAAGTATAAATTGAAACCTTTCCATGGGGCAAAGGTATGTTTTCTGGGCTTCCCAGAGGAAGAAAAAAGTCATATGACAGAAGTTTTGGAAGCAAATGGTGGACTAATAACTTCCGTGGACGATCCAAACTGTACTCATGTTGTAAGTATTTTTTTTAAAATTTAACTAATTTTTTTATTATTTTTTAAGACAACGGTTGTGTTTTTAGTAGTTAGAACTAACAGTTTATTTAGTTTTTATTTACAATTTTTCTTTGATAGGTACTTGTAAATTATTTATAGGCATTAAATTTAAACCAATTGTATCAGTAAACCAGTAAATAGTGAAATTATTAACTAGTAAAATGTAGTGAAATTTGAGTTTTATTTTTAATAATTTAGAGAAGCATTACAAGCATTTTTTTAATTCTTTTCTGTCAGATTAGTTAATTTTTATCAACATACATATAATGCTATTCATAGCAATTTTCTTTATTTTTTACATTTTTATTTGATTCTCTTGTCTAATTATTTTTGTCCTTTTTAATTTTTATCAATAACTTTTATTATTTATTGGAAATCTTGTTGCTATGATGTATTTTTTTTAACTAACATGTAAGTCGAGTATTTTTTAGTTCTCCTGAGTGATGAGGGATTAGTCTTTTATGTAATTTTGTTGGGATTTTACAGAGAGTAGTTCAAAGTTTTTGATTTTTTTTACAAGGGATATTGGTTAATTTTATAATTTACTTTTAGTAAAATTAAATAAACAGTATCAAGGGTTAGTTATATAAATCAGTTTTCTTTTATGTATCTATTACTAGTATACAGAGTTATAAATAAATATGTACGAAAAAATCAGAGGGTGATTGCTTTTTTTAATGTAATGGTTAGTTTTCATATGGTGTTTTCCAATAAAGTAGGATATTTAACACCATGTATATGGTGTACAAAATAATCGCCCTATCTGTCTAAAGTTGTCATTTAATTAGTAACATTCACAAACCAATTGTTTTAGAATAATTATATGCCTTATTTTCTTTTAGTTTTTCATTTACACCCTACATACATATAATAATAAATTGCATAATTGATCATAATGAGATTTAAAAATTTAAACAGATATTAGAGAAGGATATGAGTGGTGCATTTTTTCTATATTTGAGTATTCTCACCCATTAAATCAGTAATAGTATTGGAGATTTGTAGAGTTAGTTTATTAACAATATCACTGATTTTAGTTGATCTGTAACAAAGTTAAAAATAAATAAGGTTTTATTATTTTTTAAGAATGTGGGTATTTTTTTAGTTGCAACTAAAAGGTGATTCATTTTGTTTCAGAAATATAGACTGCTCAAAACTTTCAAAAATTATTCTTGATTACCACAGAATAAAGAATAAATCAGTAGGTTTACTACCTTCATTTCCATGTGGATGGTAGCATTTTTTTATAAAATATAAATAGCCAGTAGGTTTGTTCCAACAGAGAATCGTTCTTGGTACGGTTACGCTTCTGCGCAGTAGAGAAAATGCGTTCCATCAACGAGAGAATCGTTTAGCGAACGATAACTTTTGCGTTCCAACAAGAATTGTAATAATAAATGATCCATCAAAAGAACTGACCTGCCTATTAAAACTTGTGCTGATTATTGCTTTGACTGTTTTTTTTTAATTTGCTGATTCAAGTTTTATTTGTTTTTATACATATTTTAAATAAATGTTTTTATATTTTTGTACTAAATATGATGAGTGACGAAGGGGACAGTGATATTGAGTATGTGGATACCACTGAAGATGATTTGACACTAATAAGTTAAATAAAACAAAGATTATTTCGTATTAATTAAAAAATAAAAATAATAAAATACAAAATTCGAAATTATATCGACAATATACTAATCTATATTAATAATTATAAATTCAGAACAAGCACAGCAACAGAACTCTCCAACTCGATATATGCTTACAAATCCGATGCCGGCGATCCCAATTATTATTCTAGAATTGTACAAATTTCTGTGTTGGAACAAACCTAGTATCAAACAATCTAGTATAGGAACAAACCTAAACTCTACCTTAAGATCGAATGAAAATTCGGCTACATATCGTCACCCTAGAATTAGGTTGTTGTATATCCACTTTTGGGGTAAAATGAGTTACATACACCATTTTTTTATGCAGAATTAGCTTGTTCTATATCCACAAAAACAATATAGCCAAATTCGAATGTTTCACACTTTGGAATTTTGTGGAACCAGATGCTTCAACTCAATTGACTGCTCAATCGTTCGTTTGAAAAGCACTGATTGCCTGATTTGTTTGCAAATTCGAATGTTTTACACTTTGGAATTTCGTGAAGCTGCTTCAATTCAATTGACTGCTCAATCGTTCGTTTGAAAAGCACTGATTGCCTGATTTGTTAGCAAATTCGAATGTTTCACACTTTGGAATTTTGTGAAATCAACTACTTCAACGCAATTGACTGCTTAATCGTTCGTTTGAAAAGCACTGATTGCCCGATTTGTTAGCAAATTCGAATGTTTCACACTTTGGAATTTTGTGGAACCAGATGCTTCAACTCAATTGACTGCTCAATCGTTCGTTTGAAAAGCACTGATTGCCTGATTTGTTTGCAAATTCGAATGTTTTACACTTTGGAATTTCGTGAAGCTGCTTCAACTCAATTGACTGCTCAATCGTTCGTTTGAAAAGGACTGATTGCCTGATTTGTTAGCAAATTCGAATGTTTCACACTTTGGAATTTCGTGAAACCAGCTGCTTCAACTCAATTGACTGCTCAATCGTTCGTTTGAAAAGCACTGATTGCCTGATTAGCAAATTTGAATGTTTCACACTGGAATTTCGTGAAACCAGCTACTTCAACTCAATTGACTGCTCAATTGTTCGTTTGAAAAGCACTGATTGCCTGATTTGTTAGGAAGTTCGAATGTTTCACATTTTGGAATTTCGTGAAATCAACTACTTCAACGCAATTGACTGCTTAATCGTTCGTTTGAAAAGCACTGATTGCCCGATTTGTTAGCAAATTCGAATGTTTTACACTTTGGAATTTCGTGAAACCAGCTGCTTCAACTCAATTGACTGCTCAATCGTTCGTTTGAAAAGCACTGATTGCCTGATTAGCAAATTTGAATGTTTCACACTGGAATTTCGTGAAACCAGCTACTTCAACTCAATTGACTGCTCAATTGTTCGTTTGAAAAGCACTGGTTGCCCGATTAGCAAATTTGAATGTTTCACTGTTTTTCAATGTTCAAAAAAATGATAGTTTTTAATAAACAATGCAGACGAATAATTACTACTATTGTATTTTAGGTTTTTATTTTTTTATGTTGTTTTTAGTTAATGTCTTAATGTCTCTACTTCAGTTATTTTGTGTTGAAATAATATGTTGAAATACAAATAAATCAGCTTAAAATGAGTATTATATTATTCTATATCCCCTTATTTTGTTCTATGTCCCTAAAATCGGCTCAGTGCACAGCTAATAGACACATTTGTTCTATATCCAAATCTAAAATCACTAATATCTTTTAAATAAAGCTTCTAAAAGTAAAATCAATACATATGTTTGATAGGTTTTTATATTACCTTTAATTTATATGTTTAATAGAACCATTTTGGTATATAGTGTTCACGGATATCCAGTTTAATCTTTAAACCTTGTTTTCTCAGTTTCATCGAAATGGTCTATAGAACAATCTTGTTCTAGGGTGACGATATGTAGTTGGCTTGTAGGTGAAGATAGTATTATTTTAAGCAGTTTATATTCCAAGTCATTTAGTACTTTAACTAATATCCTTGATCATATCACTCATATATATTATCTCTCCACTTTGAAATACTCAAATCATGTTGGACGTGGGTTTTAGGTTATGGAAAATTCTGAAGTGTACACGCTGGACGCTGCAAACACGCCACTTCTCTCACCCAAATCCAACCCTAACCTCAAAACATTCCTGTCTGAACAGTCCGAAATGGTTCGAACCCCCAATAACAACAGCATATCCGACTTGAATTGCTTAGAAACCAGTACTACTAGCACCGCATACTTAGGTACCGTACACGAAACATCGAATAACGATGATTTAGTTAGTGAAATGGACAGTATTTGCTTCGAAGACCAGTCTCTGAACACTAGCTCGGTTGTACAAAGAAAAAGAAAGTTTGCATCGCCCGATTCGAACACTCTGGTTAAAAGAAAACGCGAGAAATGTTATAGTGAAAGGAGACGAAAAGTTTCCAGTTTTTTTAAGACTCCCATTAACTATTTCGCTAATAGGAGAAGAACTATAGATGCCTCTACGTTAAGTCGTTCTATGAACGACAGTGTCGTCTCAACTTCGGGAGTTTTTAACGTTGAAACACTCAGTAACTTAAGTACGTGTATAGAGAGTGATGACACACCTCGTACAGCTTTGAGAAAATCGAAAAAAAGTCTTTTTAGTAGAACTTTTAGTTCGTCTAGGTTTACGAGAAGTAAGTCAAAGAAAAGTTTGATGAATTCTTCGAAGTTGTCGTTTAGCGATGATGTAGATTCCGTAGAAAAGGATATGCTGAATTTGAGTTGTTTTCCGGATATTTCCTTGAATCCTATTCCCCATATTCCTTCAGGTTATAGCGGGCTTAGCAGCGAATCCTCACAGTCGGCCAGGAGACCTGCTCTTGCGGTACTAACTTTCATTTCACGTTCCATGTAGAATTCGATTCGAAATAAAAAAGGAATACAAAATGTTTTTCACAAATGAATTTCAGTTTTATAGTGTTTGGCAATGGGACTTGGCTTAAAAGTGTTTTGGGGATTATTAACTACACTTTTTTTAAAAATTTTCAGGTTTCTTAGAGTTTAATATATTTTGTTCTAGTGAGTCGATTTTGATGATTTTTAACCAGTTTGTAGATAAATTGCTTTTTTTTTCTATCATATATAGTCTGTCCAACGAGAAGATCCTTGACAGTGATAGATGTGTCTGTCATTTTAATTTCAAAGTAGTTTATTTTATTATTTTATTTTACAAAGAAATAAGTTGGTACAACTGGAACGCATAGCAGGAAATTAATATATGTATTTAAAATTTGACTGACAAGTAACTTCAAAATATTGTGAATAAAACTGCATAAAACTGAAAAAATGTAATCGAGTTATTTTATTTAATAAAAGACGGTATATGTTAATACAAAACAAACAAAAACAAGACACCACGTACCAAAAAATATAAAAAAGAACTATTTCTTACTTTCAAGCTTTATGAAACTTCCCGCATTTATGATTATATTTTATCAATATAACTTATGTACAAATACAAATTTGTAATATTCCGCAGGAATAAATAAAACAACATAAATAAAAACAAGACACCACGTACCAAAAAATATAAAAAAGAACTATTTCTTACTTTCAAGCTTTATGAAACTTCCCGCATTTATGATTATATTTTATCAATATAACTTATGTACAAATACAAATTTGTAATATTCCGCAGGAATAAATAAAACAACATAAATAAAACAAACTATTTTATTAATAATAACACTTACCAAATTTTATACCTCACAGGTTGATTAATTAACTTTAATCTTAATTTTTTTAAACCAGTACCTTGTACAAATACAAATTTGTAATATTCCGCAGGAATAAATAAAACAACATAAATAAAACAAACTATTTTATTAATAATAACACTTACCAAATTTTATACCTCACAGGTTGATTAATTAACTTTAATCTTAATTTTTTTAAACCAGTACCTTTTGACATTATTTTTCTGCAGTACTAAAATCCATTATTTACCTATCGTGTGATGTCGATATTTTTCAGCTACGCCAGTTTTTAGTATGTGTTTAGTATGGTTCTTCTACCATATTCGAGATGCACTTATCTACGACGAGATGGTATACGAACTTTATTGATAGTAACTTTATTGGTGTATCTGTATAAGACTTTCTCCCTGGGCAGCAAGTATTAACCATAAACTGTGCTCTGGGTTCTACAGTTAATTTTCACTCGATTTTTCCTACACTTGACTTCAAAAGACACAAAACACTCGTAATAACACGAATCAAAATGCATCATCTTCCAAAACGCAGGGTATTTGACAAAAGTTGTCACAAGATTATAACCTATAATTTGGCAAGACTTTGACAAACGTCAAAAATCTAAAGGCGAGTTCATACGCATCGGCGTCCGTTTGTCGTTCATCGTTCCGTCAAACCAATAAAATTGAAATACGTCTGTCATTTTGAAATAAACCAATAAAACTGGTTAAAAACAACAAGTGACGACGCATGACGAATTTATATTTAAACCCATCCATAGTTAACTTAAAAATTATTAGAAACTTTTTTTAGTAAAATAAATAGATTGGTATGGGACGTCATCTGCTTTTCTTCTGTCATCGTCTGTCGAAATCTTACCTGAGAAAAAAAACAGAGTATAGTATTTTACTTCAAACAAAAGATACATTTGTGGAGACTTTTTATAATAACTTTGTATTGAAACACCAAATTGCTAAAATACAAACACTTAATTTTATTTTGTATTCCATTTTTATTAGCTTATTGGGGGTGTGGTTTAAAATAGTTATTTGCATCACAACATAGTTCAAAAAATCTATCATTAAACATATTTTGAAAGATAACTGATTGATTTTTTTTCAAATATAAATGTTGAATTTCTTAACATTATCTACTTGCAGACATTGTGTTTAATCGATTTTTTCTGAATTTTTCACTGTCAGCCGTTTGATGCATCTAAAAAAATACAGTTTGCTCACCATAATGTGTCTATTTATAAATTTTTATTGTAGATGTAATGTAATAAATAAGTGATTAGAGAAATTAATCACAAACAAGTGCATTTTGTTTGTTAGTATTTTTAACGTTAACATAATTTTAATTACTTATTGTTATTGATTAAAAGTAAGATTTTTGAACTATTTATGTCTTAAACTATTGTTATTGTTTTTTAAAAGTTTTAAAAAGTATGCTTTAAGTATTTTTTATTACTGAAATATCTGGGTGATTTGCAACTAAACAATTTAAAAAAAAAAACATTTTTGTTGTGATGAACTAGGCCTGAAAGTGATCAAGTAATGAACCGCCTTTTCATAAGTGAACAGCAAACTGTCACTGACTTTCATAAGTCACACAATGAATGTAGTCCAAAATCCGGGTGCAAAAACATGCAAGAGTTTTCTGAAGATTCGTATTTTCAAAATCGATTGCATTTTAGTGTTTAAAAGCAAAGGTACAGTCAGCAGTTCCAGTTCTGGGACACCTGACGCTGAGAAGCGCCCGCAAAGGTGTAATTTTAAAACGTCCAAACTGTTTCCTGAAGGCTGAAAATTTGTAGATAACATTCGAACGCAATATAAAACAAAAATATAAAAGACTTCAGAGAAAATATTGATGAATATCGTACAGGGTGGTCCGAACTGTATTCCGGAAAATTCGGCAGCATATTCTGCAGATAAAAAGAAGTAAAAAAGTTCATATAAATGTATGTCCGAAAATGCTTAGTTTCAGAGATACAGGGTGTAGTTTCAATTTTATTTCGATTTTTTCCAAATAATTTCTGAAGTAACGTCAATATTTGGATGAAAATTGATGTCTAGGAGTTTTTTGACATGAGAAATTTGATTTTGATGTCAATATGACTCCTACTGGTAGAGGGCGCCACCTACATATTTTTTAACTGTTTTGAAGCGTAATAACTTTCTGTCCGTACCTGTATAAAACTACCGAGGAAGAAAATATACATCTCTGTGACTTTTTACGTAAAAAATATCTCTTTGTAAAAATCGCTACGAGCAACCGTTCCCAAGATATTGAGAATGGAAATAGTCAATACATGTCATTATTGAGGAAAATTAAACACGTTGAGTAGATAGTTATTTCACTGAAATAATAAATTTGGGAAATTTTTATTTTTTTAAATTAATCATAAATTTTTCTGCAAAAAATTATGATAAAATAGTTTCCGTTGAACTTTTGGCACAAAAACTTTCAAATTTATGCTCTCAGTGTAATAACTACAGGGTCTAGTCAGCATGTTTAATTTATGTCAATGATGACAGGTATTGATAATTTCGATTTCAAATATCTCGAAAACCAATACTAGTAGCGATTTTTACCAAGAGACATTTTTTACGTAAAAAACGTCGTAAATGTATATTTTTTTACTCAATAGTTTTATACAGGTACAGACGAAAAGTTATTACTCTTCAAACCAGTTAAAAAATATGTAGGTGGCGCCCTCTACTAGTAGGAGTCATATTGACATCAAAATCAAATTTCTCATGTCAAAAAACTCCAAGACACCAATTTTTATCCAAATATTGAGGTTATTTCAGAAATTATTTGGAAAAAATCGAAATAAAAATGAAACTTCCACACCCTGTATCTCCGAAACTAAGCGTTTTCGAACATACATTTATACGAACTTTTTTACCTATTTTTATCTACAGAATATGCTGGCGAAGTTTCTGGAATACAGTTCGGACCACCCTGTATATTGAGCATATCTTATAAACTCTATACAGATTATCGCCTATCCCTGCAATATGTTGGAGTTGAAGCCGAGTTAGAGACAACTAGATAACCGGTTCGTGTATATTTCACGAACTGTGTTTTCTGTTAGGCAGACACTGGCGCAATAGCGCAACTCCAAAATTTCGAATATCGATTAGCCCTTACTTTGAGGATTAGCCAATTGTCGAACGGGAGCGCAAACGAAAGCCGTATGAATGAACAGCTGGTGCTAGCGTTTCCAATAAGAGACTTATTGGTCTAGTTATTCGATCGATAATTCAAAAGGTTCCAGGCTTGCGCACTACACTTGAGCAGAGCTAACTGAGCGACTTATGCAAATTCCTAGGGTATAAATGGGTATATAAATCATCTGATTTATATACCCATTTCACCGGCTTGACTTCACAGAATGCAGTTACTTTACAAATATATGATATTGAGTAAAGACCAAAAAAACCAAACCGCCTATACGCGCGCTATCGCTATTCTCTCTTCCATCAGCTGCTAACTGACGGGGTTCTAATATCGACTGTTTTTATTAATTAATATATTGTTTTCACTATTACCTTGCAAAATTTCAGCCTTCAGAAATCATTTCTTTTTACAAAGTTTCTTTGACAGCGCGTTTGAGGTAGCGCTGACGCTTTGTGTCCCCATAGTTATCTGTTATGTTAAATTATATTATGTTATCTGTCTGACTGTTATATTTTTGTTTTACATTGTATTCGAATGTTATCTACAAATTTTCAGCCTTCAAAAAACAGTTTGGAGGTGTTAATTAAAATTACACCTATGTGCGCTTCTCGGCGCAGGTGTCCCGGAACTGGAACTGCTGACTACCTTTGCTAAAATGCGATCGATTTTGAAAATATGAATCTTCAGAAAACTCTTGCATGTTTTTGTATCCGGCTCCGATGCATCACACGCTATATGTGTGTGTTTAGTTCTTTGAATCTCAAATTACAAAACACTAAAATCACTCAGACGCAAATTAAAGCATTAATTTTAAGGTTATCTTAGTTCCTCCCCGTATTTTAGATCACACCCTTATCGCTTATGGTATTTGGTACTAACCCTAAATAAATATTCGTCAAATTCCACCTGAACCAGGTTCTAATTAGTAAGTTTTCCCCTCTCCTTTCTTCTAGGTGGTCGATGAAACGTCAGTGGTAGAACGGCCAGATGTCAACGCCAGAGCCTTCGTGGTTAAGGCCGAGTGGTTCTGGACATCGGTCCAGAAGGAATACAGTTTGGACGAGAAAGAGTACCTGTTCGACGACTATATAGAGCACGCCATTGCGACGCCGGGCGTGAGGAGGGATAGTCGTACCGGTACGCCAAGCAGCGCAAGCAGGTAAGGCAATAGTGTTGCACTTACGTTGTTCATATTTTTTAAATCAGAAATAGTATAGTGTTTTATTAGGAGTAGAAATGATACTTTTTGCGGCGAGGCTGTACGTTTGAAATTACAGGTACAAACAACTTTTTTACTCCGAATTACTTATTTAATTTACTCTGAATAGAACATGCAATTTTTTTTAAACGCCACTAATCATTTTTTAAATAATTTCAAACGTTGCAATTAACATAAAAATATTTAAAAGTAATGCCTTGTAAGTAACATAGATAAATGAAACAAGTTTAGATTGGAAAGTGCCCGTAAGGACAATGTAAACACTATTTGGCGCTATTCTTGTAACGGTCGCGACCTAAAGTTTTTGACAATTTCGGAGTGGTTCGGCTTTTTCCGGAATTATATCGTCAAATATTATTTATTCAAATTTATTATTGTGTTCTTTTAATTTTATAAATAAAATACAGTGTGTTGCATACAAGAAACTTTGTTTTATAGGTATAAGGACATGTATGAAATACCTATGAAACATTGGAAACCGACGTTATGCCACGATCCACGATGGTTTTTGCGTTTCACAGTTCACAGCACAGCTTTTTAAGTTTTTAACGCCACTTTTTCACAATTATCACGGGTTTGAGTAAATAAAACTTAAATTAAACTTACAAGATAGCAATAATTACTTTGAAAATGGACGCTTTAAACATAGATAAGATACTATATAATATAAAATAGATAGGAAACTCAATACATTTTGTCCGGACCGAGCGGTGGTGCCATCTCGTGGTTCTAGTAACGAAATAAAACATAAGTTTAAAACGGATGGTTTCTATTTTTTTCGGATTTTTCCATTAACTAAATTCCAAGTAAATTGATTCAAGAAAGAAACAGTTTACTCGAATAAATGGATTTAAGTTAAAATGGCAAAGGGGATATATCAAAAACACAAAAAAAAACTATAAGAAACTATCTTTATTGAACTGAATATAATAACAAAAACACAATACAAAACATTATAATAATAAAATATATCTAGATCTATAACAATTAGGGCAACCTATTTTACAATTAATTAGCAATCTTAAAGGAAGGGAAACTATAGTCTGTCCAACGACAAAATCCTTGACAGTGATAGATGTGTCTGTTATTTTAATTTCAAAGTAGTTTATTTTATTTTACAAAGAAATAAGTTGGTACAACTGGAACGCATAATTAATATATTTAAATCATTATTTAAATTTTGAATGACAAGTGATTACTTCAAAATATTGTGAAAAAAAACTATAAAACTGAAAAAATCTAATCTTGGTTAATTAACTTTAATCATAATTTCTTCTGCAGGACTAAAATGTATTATTTACCTATCGTGTGATGTTATTTTACAGATACTCCAGTTTTTGGTACCATATACGAGATGGTATACAACTTTATTTGTGGCTAATACAACTCTCTGGCCATAGTCACTGGCAAACTGTGTTTTTGGCGGTCTCTGGGCAAAGAATATTAACTGTAAACTATTGCCTGGGTTAATACTTAATTTTCCCTCGAGTTTTCCTCCACTTAATTTTAAAAAACACGAAACACAAGTAACAACACAGTCCAAAATGCAAAATATTTATCATGTCTATTTGACACAAAATTATAACCTATAATTTGGCAAGAGTTTGACAATTCTCAAAAATCTTAAGTCGAGTTCATACGCATCGGAGTCCGTTTGTCGTTCATCGTTGCGTCAAACCAATAATATTGAAATAAGATCTGTCATTTTTGAAATAAACCAATAAAACTAGTTAAAAACAACAAGAGACGACGCATGACGTATTTACTTATTAACCCATCCATAGATATCTTAAAAAATATTAGAAACTTTTTTTTGTGAAATAAATGGATTGGTATGGAAGTCATCTGCTTTTTTTCTGTCATCGTCTGTCGAAATCTTACCTGAGAAAAAAAGCAGAGTATAGTTTATTCTATGTAACACGTGTTTGCTAACTTACTATTTGATCCTTCGGAAACATATGCATTTGGGCATATTTTTGGTAATTCTTACAGCCAGTAACACAATACTTAAAAACCATTGTCTACAGTTAAAAAATATGTAAAAACACAAGAACAGAGCCGTATAAAAATCAAAAACAAATTTAAAACACGATCTACGGATAACGGACAAAATAAAATATAAATTGACAACTGTTGACAGGTTAAATTTTACATTTGATGGTAAAAGCCAGGTAAAAACAGGTAAAATTTTAAATTTTGTAATTTTTGCCCAAATATGAATTAATTACATACTTGTGTTAGTTAATAAATTATTCTAAATAAATGTGGATTTGAATCAAAAATCAATACCTATAATAAGTTATGAAAATGAACGTCTCTGTTGTTTTAAATAAGCATTCGTCAAAAAATGAAATAAAATTTTTAAGGTGTTACTTTTTACCACACTGTTTAATACACACACAAAATTCAGTTTTTTTAGTATTTGGAGCAATTATTATTAATCAACGAAAACCGTCAATTAATGTAGTTTGAATACGGCAATCATATTAATTGGTTCTCTTTAACAAATATTTAAACATTTTTTTAATAAAATAAACGAACTATATCAACAATATTAGTACCGTATCATCGAATAAAAACGGCGTCAGCGATGGCTATGAAATGAAGATTGCTGTCATTTTATATGTAAAATGATATGGGAAATGTCATCGATCGTCATTTCTAAGCCAACTGGACGCCGTTTTTTTTTATCATACGGTATTTGTACTATTTAGAAATCTGTTACATCATTAAAAATAATCTAAAATGTCAATATTCCATGGGTATATTGATAAATGAGATTTAAACTATAAGAAAAGGCATTTTCTACGAAAACTTGAAGAGATAGGTATAAGATGGTATAATACAATTTGATAGACAATTAAACTGTGCATCTGATTCTCATAAAATATACAGGGTGTTCCATTTAAATTAAACGAGTTATTGCCCTTTAAATATAGTACTTATTTAAAATAAATTTTTAGACACGCTGTATAAGATAGTATAATTTTTATTATTGCAACACAAAATTTAGTAAATAGAAACACTTCAGTACAATATTTGGTTTTAAAAACTTAAATACGTCTAGAGAAATGAATCATTAAAAGTATTACCAGAGTACGTAGATCGCCGAGTAGCGACAGAAACCGTCGGCTCTTTTGATGTGGTGGGACCAAATTTTCTTTCTCTCTCTTTTGACGTGTTTGACAGATAGACTACGTATTTAACTGCTCAACTTATGAAGTGGTCCTATAAACATGGTATACACTGCTCACAATTTGAAGTGGAATTAATTATAAAGTTTTATACATATCTTTTTTGTTTTGTTTTATCCTTATTTCTAAATTTGAATGTATAAAATATCTTACTGCTAATAAATAATTAAAAAAACGATTCGTTGCCTGACGTATACTTGAAATAAAGTATATAAAGATATTTGATAAATGGCAACAGTGGCAACTTCGCTTCTTCGTATGACAGATAACCTACTTATTTCGCGCAGCCGCAAAGAAAATTGAAAACGGGACTGTCGCTACTCGTCGGTTGAGGTACTCTGGTATTACTGCATTTTGACACAAACCTAAATATTTTAAAAACGGTAAGATTAAAATGCGGTAAACCTTAATCAAATTTACCTTTATTTCTAATCGTAGAAACTAGAAATGTAATAATATACAGGGTGTTCCATTTAAAAAAATACAACTTTGATATTTTTTATTTATTTGGGACACTCTGTATCTTGTAAAAATATTTTTAAATTGTAGCTCTAATAGTCCTTCAACGAACCCAGAACTTACAATTTGCAAAAATCTAATCGTTTAGCTACAATACTCCGTGTCGTATGTGGTGAACAACTCTGTAGATGAAAAATGTAGTGAATATTATGTAAATCATCTTATATTAATGCTTATAGGTACGCTACTGTGCAAGAAACAAAATTGTTTGTATCATGGAAAAACAACAAAACCATTCTAGTTAGTTAACACCTATAACAATTATAAAAAGCGTTTGATGTTTAGGAAATGTGAATAAAAATCCATTTTATTATTTACTTTAAGTCTGTACAGTAACTCTATATGACAAACAATATTCTTGTTTGCAAATTCAGTGTCAAGGTGTTTTTTTTAAATAACTTGATAAAATATTAGTGCGAGCTTAGTTAAATATGGCAAAAATTGATTATTGATAGCAAAACTTAAAATATCACAGCTATATCTCAATAGCAAGTTGCCATTTTTTTTATATAAAATAAATAGGTAAAAAATAATAAAAAATTGCAAGAAACTTGTTATTTTGTAGAAGAAAACGCAAAAGAATCCACGAGACCCTCCAATCTCTAGTACAGCAGACTCAGTCTCCGGCACTCCATAAAAGAAGATCGTCGGTCAGTGATGCTGGATTGCTGTCCGTGTCCGGTTCATTTCTGGATTGTACCGTTAGTCCGGTTAGTACCACCCCTGGCAGACGACATTCTATTAAGGTTAATAGTTGAACGTGTGTATGTGTGATATTTTGCGTGCTGATGCTTTGTTTAATTGCTGACTTTGAAATCAGTTTTTAATGAATATTGTATGATCGAAAAACTTGTGATTAGTGTATTCCAGGGTTTGTTTTAAGTCACTTTATGATATGTATAAAAATAATAAATGGTATATATGTTACAGTGAAAGTCGGAAATTCAGTGATTGTTAACATTCACTAGGAAATGCTAACAATTACGCATTGGACCAGTAAATGTAGTATTTTAAATAGATTTGTCGATTTTTCCTATTAATTTCTAACATTCACTATAGTGAAAGTAACATTTACTAAAGGTTGCCAGTAAAAGTTATTCTATTGCACAGGGCTAGTGTGGTGAGAAAGAATGTTGGTGGAAGTTAGAACAAATAAAACTTTTAAGAATATTGGATCAATTCAATATTCAAGGTGATCCACATATCTTAAAATTACAATTTACTTCTTTAGTATATTTATTAAAAATTATAGGAAATAACGACATAAGACATAACCTTCTAAATATTAAAAGGGAAAATATAGTGAACATTTTACAGCGTACAAAACAATTTAAAAAAAACATTCATAAACGTAAGATTACTTACTGATACTAGGTTTTTTAATAAAGTTCTTCATCGTGGACGAAATAAAGTATGCCCGAATTTTATTCAACCGGAGTTATTCGTTTTTTCAAACCCGCTACTTCCAGCATATGGAAACGTTTAATAAGTTCATAGTCATTAGGTTCCTTAATATCTTTTTCTCTTGCATGCTTAACTTTTGCTATGACTTCATTATATTGCATTAAAATGAAAAACAAGCACTATTACATTCTTGCGAGTGCCGAGTTTACCTTAGTTTTTCACAGAAAATTTCTTCCATAGGGAAAATACCGCACATCATTTTTTACAATGATAACAAAACAATTACACATAACCACAAAAAACAACAGAGATCTGTCAACGTTGCCAACGTTTATCCCAATTTAATGTTATCCTTATATTGCCTATTATTCCAACTTATCCTTATTTATCCTTATATTTTACAACATGTGGCAACCGCGTTAACTGAATCTTTCAAACTTATTGCTGTCGTCCAGGGAATGCTAGCATTCACTCCTGATACAAAGAATACAAGGTATGAAATTGCGCCGGTTGGTCACTACGTCACAGGTGATTGGTCGACAAGCTCTGCGCGCCAATTTCAAATTGTCAAACAGATTGTGTCATCTGTGAAATTTGATTGTGTCAAAATGTGAAAATAATTTTTCAAATGTCAAGCTCGATGATTTGACATAACTTTTGGGGTTATGTCCTAATAATTCTTCCCTATTTTAGGTCTTTTTTTATTAGTGGCAATTGTACAATATGGATATTTTTTTGTATGGCGTATGACGTCACAGGTGGTATGCGCAAACTTAACGAAATTGGAGCCGCTATCGATCATACCTTGTTTTCTTTGTACCATGGCATTCACTAGTAAAAGATGGTTTCAAAAATAGCTGTTGAACTTTTACTGGCGTAGTCTTAGCAAATCAGTGAATGCGAGCTTTTACTAGTAATTGTTAACAATCACTGATTTCCAACTTTTACTGTAACGTATATAATAAATAGTATAATAAAATGATCATCATAAAACAGAAAATTGCAGAATATTTCGATTTAGATTTAAATAATTTCTTACTTCAATTTTTTATGTAAAACACAGGATATTCACCATTATTGAAATTTTTAAGCTTTTGATCATACAATATTCAGAATTATTATATTTTACTGTTTTGTTATTTTTTATTTTTGGTTGATTCCTTTAATTTTTCGTTTTTTATTTTAATTTTTTTTATTTATTTTTAATTAAAAACTCATCAGAACGTATTCTTAGAGCTGAAATGTGTCTTATCAAATGTTCAGAAAGCATTCAATTTTGAAATAAGAGGCTAAAATATATTACCCTAGTGATTTTAACAGTTTAGTTGTTTGCTATACAAAAAAGGATAATATAATAATTAATTTTCAATTAGCAATTTTAGTTTATGGCTGTTTTATGGCAAGGTATTTCTATTCTGCCCTAATACCTGTATAATCTGCAGAAATTCCATTTATTGTAATAGAATATCTATTTATACCTGTGTTATAATAAAACCTACCCTAAAGCTTAACAGGTAGGTGTTATATAAATAGCTTTAGGGTGGGTTCATTGTAATTCGTTAATTTCATTTATTTTCTGGTAATACTCTATCTAGCTAAATTGATTTTTCGAAAGATTTTACGAACCTTACTATTTTATGTACAGGGTGGTACGAATTGTAATCGGGAAACTTCGACAACATTACTAGTCTCTGGAGATAAAAATTAGTAAAAAAGTTCTCGTGCTCAAAGATTTTCCTACATATTTTAATTTTTATGATTTAGTATCACAATATTTGTCTTACCTTGTATAACTTTTCGGGTCAAATTTTAATTTGCTTTAACATACAATGCTAATTTTAACTAAATATCAACCTATACAAGGTGAATTACAATTTAGGTAACTGTTTATTGAAATTTAAAATTCATTCTTCATTTTCACAAAATGTGAAATATGTCAAAAACATTACATTTTAGGTATATGCTTCTTTAATGAAACACGCCTTTATTTTTTTTTCTAGAATCAGAAAAACAATTAATATATAGGGTGGCACCCTGTAGAACTTAATATATTTTTATAAAATGCTTCAAATTAACCGTAAATTTAATTTCGATATAAACCACCCTTTTCCTTGGAGCCTCCGCCTCGTATGAGAGGAGCCACTGTGTATATTTTTCCTCGTGTCCATATATATCTTGAACACATTATATAATTGTCAGGAAAATACATTTTTGATTTATTTAAAGTAGAGGGAAAAACGAAAAAAAAAACAAAATATTTTTGAGTCTAAGTTTAATTGACTATACAGGGTGAGTCTTAAATAAGTGCAAATATTTTCAGGGCTGATAGACCTCGATAAAAGAAACATATTTTCTCTTTACTGTTTTTTTTTTACTTTATGGAAATAAATTCAAAATAACCGAGTTATTTTATTTTGAAAATTTGCAAAAAAATATTTTTTGCTTAAATTTTGAGAACCACTGGATCTTTTCTGGATTTTCTTTCTTATAAAATTAATCTACTACCTATGTTGCCATATTATCAAGAAATAATGTTTTTAAAAAATTTTCAAAAAATCCAAATTTCCATTTTTTTTTAAATTCATAATCGTGTTTCTGGGGTTGTAATATACCACTTCTAAAAATATTTGCACTTATTTAAGACTAACCCTATAGAATACTTACATTTATAATAAAAGTTTAAACAACTAACGAATATGTTAGAATCGACATTTCTAGGAAATCTTTATAACTGACTGGTTAAGTTGGTTGTAATTCTTGGTATTCGTACATTTCCAACTTTTATTACATTGGCACAATCCCCTCTCCAAGGGTTGGTGTGTAATAAAAAATATTGCACCTGACAATAGGGCATCTAAATTATTATTAGGTCTTAGAATATTGATGAGGTTCATATTTTTCAAAATGGATTTCGGTGGTCAGTCGTTACCGAACATTTATCGAGTTAAATTCAAAAAGAAAAAATTAAAGCGTTAAATGATCTAAGAAAAAGAAAGTGCCAGTGATTTTTTTTTGGTTTTGTGTGTATCATGCTTTTGGAAACTATCGTTTCACCCTTGAAAGAATTGAGGCATAGGTTAAGCCAAGAGGCTGAAAATTATTACGACGAATGGATAGGAACAATTTCGTGTATTTTGGATAACGTTAGTATTTTGTAATGTTAAGAATTAGTGTAGGATCAAAATAAAAAGGAGTGTGATCTTAAAACTGAACGAGTAAGTCCAAAACTTTGAAAAACATTTGATTTGTTAGACAAATTTATTAGATAGAGTATTTTTGTTTTTGTTATGAAAATATAATGACAAAAGTGATTGATGTCAAACATATTCAAAATGTTTGATTTATATTTTACTATGTCTTAATTTCAAAGTTAAATGCTTCTTTTTATTGAGTGCGTTGAGTGTTATATGTGTGATTCAGCTTGTACTATTCTACATGGTTATTTTAGTTAATTCATTTTATATAGGGTGACTCACTTACTGTCTGAAAAACTTCACTTTAGGTTTTCTAAATTATGACTTTCTTACAAATTACGTTGATAATAATAATAGCGCAGTTTTTCACATTAAAGTAGTACTTGTTTAATGGAATGCAATATTTTTTTCTGAGATATAATATTTTGCAGCAAAAATGTTTATTCTAAAAATGTATTGTCATACTTTTATTTATTTATTTAATTAATAAAAGTTAAAATCTCTGTAATAAAGTCTCTTTGGAACAGTTGGTTACCCTGTATAGTGTGTACACATTAATTTATAAATGTGTCAGCTTTGGTGTAGCATTTTTATTAAATTTATTTGCTGTCTTCACTGTCAATTAATCACAAATGTCTTCATGACAGTGACATTGCTTTTATGGTAATTCCAATTTATTTTTTTCTGATCAGATACTAAAAGCACTACAATTCTAAGCAATTTAGCAAACTAAAGCTTCATTCAAAACCTCTGTACCAAAAATATTTGTAATTTTTTGAATATTCAGCACTTGAGGTATAATTTCCCACGAAAAAATATTGACAGTTCTTGTGTTCTTGTCTATCATTCCAATTTAAAAGTAATTTGATTCTGTCAATTTTTTGGATATCGTCTCTCGATTTCTCTCTGCTGGAGATAGAAAATGCTATTAGAGGGCTGACTCATTAAGTAAATTATTCTTAAAAAAATAATTTGTTCACACATAGTACATTTTAAAGGAATTATACTTAATATTTTGTTCCTTAATCTCCATAGAATGATAAAGGTTTATTGGATAAAGCCGAATCCGAGGAAACACCACAGATTACGTCGGCAAGACATCAAGTGTTCTTAGAGCTGGTACAGACGGAATCTAACTATGTGGAAATCTTGAGCATCATAGTGAAATTGTTCAAGCAGTACCTGGAAGAGATGCTGGACGAGGATCCTCTTTTAAATTTTACGGAGTTGAATCTCATTTTCGGCAAGTTGCCGCCGATCCACGAAACCCATTTGAAAATGCTCGACGAGGTAAGTTGCGCTATAGTAGAAATCAAGAGAGTTTTCTTCGTTGCGACAATTGATCGGTGACTATTATATCTGAGAGATTTGAACTGTACAGGGTGGACCATTTTGGTTGTTTCTATAGGGCATCTAGGAAACCGTGAGAAATATTCAAATTTTGATACTGCAGTCTCGGGTTCTTTTTTTGAAAAAGTATATGGCGCAAACGGATCGTGGCTGTCTTCATCGGTTTCGAAGCTACAGGGAGATTCTCAAATTTTGTACTTTTTGAAGATGTTCGATAGTTTGTTTATTTCAGCAACCACGAAAAAATGAATTATACATTCTAAAGGCACTTTTCTGTGTAGAATGCAGTGGCGTAGTCAGACTTTTTTCGAAAAAAATATTTTTTAAGATATTAACTATACCTACTTATGTTTTTTTTTAAAAGAACCCCCTGTATATTTTTAAATTTTGTTATTCAGCTTGGCATGAGCTTCTCAAAAATATATAACACTCTATATTTATTTTCACTATTAACTTCAACATTCCAAATTTTTCTTAAAATATCCACTTAGTAGATAGTAGGCCGTGCCGAGGAACAAAGTAAACGGTTGTCATGGTGATCGGAACATACCTTTGATGGATGATCGATTATCAACAAAACTCAACTTTTTAACAGCACTTAAGGGACACAAAGCGCCATTACTACCGCTTTCCCGTTCAAAATATCCTAACAAAATTGCGATGAGTTCTTTACGTATATTAAGCTGTCTTGTACACTTCGCACCAAAAGAGGTTCTAAAAAGAACAATGTTCGACTGCAAGGTCTGCTGGTAAACATTTTTAAGCTTAAAGTGTCACAACACTATTTATTTAAACCAAAAACTCGTAATACAAAACTAAAGTGTCAAAACGAATGATAATGTGAGGAAATAAATAAATAAAAGCGGCATCTTGACATTTTTTTACAGCAGCTGTACCACCTGAAACCCCAACGCGAAATTTAAATTTCAGTTAGTCAGCCTGGCACCGAAAAAGTCCATGGTTGGCAACAATGAATGTAAAAATCGCGCCCTCGATTACATAACTAAAAGTTTAATTGATCTAAAATATATTAAGTCTTAGATCTACACTTTGCGGTTTGGCATGGCAAATCAAATCATTGCGTGCCGGGCCTCTTTATGACTCCCTTGGTCTTGATTTTGCAGTCTAATAAGTAGGTAGTCTTGCTGCAACATTTTTGCAAGTAAATAATGCCTATACGTGGTGGTTTCATTTCTTTTTCAAGAATTCTGGGTTTTTGCCACTGGACCAAAATCTGCAAAATAAAAATTTATTTTTTATAAACACTACTGTTTAGGTGTAAACACCACCTGAAATTTCCAATTCCCGGATTTCGGGAATATGTTTTTTTGATCCCAGGATTGGTGAATGTTCACTGAGGTGAACATGAATGCAGTAACCATTAACAGTAACAAAATGTAATAAAAAACAATTCCTTTGGTAGGAAAAAAATAATCTAAATCAAAAAGAACATAAGCAACTTAACATCGGTAAATATGGGTGCACTAAACATAAAACTTAAAAAAAATATACCAAAAAACGATTATTCCATCTTAAAAATCATATTTACTTAATATAAGAATGATTAAGACGTTCTCAAAGACGGCAGTATAAGCGCCAAAAGTAAAAAAGAGCACAGGCCAATGACGTCTAACAGCGCTTTCAGATGGAGTGGACCGTCTGTCATGTTTTTCAAGATAGCCATCGACGAACTCATCTGGACTCATCTGGAAATTGTTCATATAAACTCATGGTACTTGCTCGAAGTCGCGGACGCTCCGCTCCATCTGAAAGCGCTGTAAGGCTTGACCTCGCCCAAATTATCATTGACGCTGTTTTTTTATCGCATCGTATCTCAAAAGAGATATTCTTTTTAATATTGAAAAAAAAAACTGTATTGGTTCTTTTTTAGCTAAGATGGACTAAAGCACACTGGAACGAAGAGAGAAGCATAGGTGATATAATAATCAAATATTCCACTGAACTGCAAAGAGCGTACCCGCCATTCATCAATTACTTCGAAGAAATGAAGGAGGTTTTGACGAAATGCGACCAGTCGAAACCGAGGTTTCACGCTTTTTTGAAGGCGATGCAAACCAGACCAGAATGCGGTAGACAGAGCTTGCAAGAGCTGATGATAAGGCCGGTACAGAGACTAGGAAGCATCAGTTTATTACTTAACGGTAAGTTTTTTCTTTATCTTTTTTTTTCTTCTTCGATCAACATTTTTTTGCAACTACTAATATCTCTCTCTCTCCCTCTCTCTCTACGCAATGGTCTTAATAAAACATATGCTGAGTACACTACTCTGTTTTACTACTCAGGGAAGGTTTTGACAGACGATGACAGAAAAATGGAAGATGACTATACCAATCCATTTATTTCGTTAAAAAAGTTTCTGATATTTTTTAAGTTAACTATGGATGGTTATAGAAATCCGTCATACGACTAGTGATGGGCAAAACTGTTATTTTTAGATAACAGTTGAAACTGTTATAGTTATTTATAAAAAACAGCTTAAAATAACAGCTTAAAAATAACAGGTTTCTTTATTTTACTGCTAAATATCTGAAAGAGTATGAGACGGTCATCGCCAGGCGTATTAACGCAGTTGCAAGTTGCAACAATGACGTGCTCGGTGGTAGTATTTCCAGGGTGTCAAAACATTTCTAAATATCGATTGTTATCTAAAATACCTCTCTAAAAACGGTGGTTATTTACAAATAAGCGCTGTTTACAAATTACGATATAAAAAAAAGCCAAAATTCGGCCACTCGTCTATAGTATATACCTACGCCCTGCCCCTCGATCCGCGTAGATCCTGAATTGCGTAGCAGTGTACAGGGTGCATCTCACGCGACGGGCGAGAAGCTCTTAGTTATGATTTTACCATTTGCGGTCAAAAAATAGCAATATAAGAAAATGTGTAGTATATTCTTCATAAGAGTTTCATTCTTCTTCATTCACTAGAGTTCGAATTAATTTTACACTTAAACTAGCGTGTACCCGCGACTTCGTTCGCGTCGAATTAATAATTTCTAATGGTGATGATAAAGCAAAACAAGAATTTCCATTAACATACAAACTGGATAAAATTTTCTCACATTTGCCAAAAATAAGCTTTCTAACGTCGAGCAGTTTAAGCAGAATCGTGGTTAATCAATTACTCAACTTTTGGAACACCCTGTATGATTTTTAAAAAATTTCAAAATATGTAAAAAAAAAAAATAAATTATGCGTGTCAGGCGTTTTCCCGAAAGACTAACCGTTTTTAAATAACAAATATTGTAATATTTGAGGGGCGTTTCACCCTGTTGGAATTTGAGATTCGAAACCCCTCCTTATCGAACCTCAACCCCACAGTCAATCCGTTTGCAAAAATCAGCTTTAAACGTCCAGCAGTTTAAGCAGAATAGTGATTACTCAATGGTCATATTTTATGAAACACCCTGTATATATTTTTAAAAATCTTAAAATATGTAAAACAACATATTAAAATATACGTGTTTTAAGAGTTTTTCCGAAAAACTCACCGGTTTTTAAATAAAAAATATTCTAATATTTCAGAGTAGTTTCACCCCCTTAGAATTCGAGTTTCGAAAAATCCCTTCTTACCGAACCTCTACACACTAAAGTCAATCCGTTTTCCGAAAATCAGCTTTTTACGTCAAGGGCTTTAAGCAGGATCGTGATTAATCAATGACCAGATTTTTCAAAACACCCTGTATACATTTTTAAAAAATCTTAAAATATTATTCTGAAAATTTTTCAGAATAAATATATACCTAAATATTGAAACTTAATAAGTAAGTACTGAACATACAGCGCCATAATATCTCGACCTCCGTCCGTTATGCTCGTAACAGGTTGAAACAGAATGTATCTAAAACAACTGATGCGTTATTCCCCAACCTGTTTCGAACCTCCATCGACAATCGACCGATGCAGCAGCGTTCCTTTCCCACACCTATTATCTCGTCCGCCGCCCTGTTATACTTGTAACAGGTTGAAAAACAACATATCTAAAATGACTGCTTCTCCAACCCGTTGCGAGCCTCCATCGACAATCGACCGATGCAGCAGCGTTCCTTTCCCACTCCTGTTATCTCCACCGCCAGGCGTTATGCCCTCAACTGTTTCAAAAAACCTGCTTCTTTTATATCCTATTATTTTTAAGCTGTTGTAAATACGACCATTGACGGTATCGACCGAAGCAGCTACGTTCGCCGTAGCGCTTTCCCCACTCCGTTGTCCGTTGTCTCGCCGCCTGTATCGATGGTTGACGAAATAACATGTTTTCAATCCATACTAGTTGTTTTTTGGAATTGCTTCGAGCAGCATAGAATTTCGTGGTGATGCAGAGCGCCGACTTCGTTTTTCCTTTCACGAGCGGCCGATCTCTACGTGTCGTTATTTTATATCTGTTATTTTTTAAAAGTAGTAACGGTTGCGTTATGTTATTTATAAATAATTGTTATAAAATAACAGATAGTTAAATAACAACCCATCACTACATACGACGTCACTTGTTTTTGTGCAGTCTTATTGGTGTATTTCAAAAATGACAGATTGACTATAATAATAACCTTTAAGCTGACTCTTGTCAAGACTAGATGACTCTTGTGTGACTAGATTGCGATAGCGATTCACTCCTATACTTAACGTAAACGCCGACTCAAGGTTTCGCTTGCCAGCAGGGTATAATATACATACGTGTAGTAAACCGATCATTTATGAAATTCACTTAAAATTCACTAATTATATATTTTTTTCTCGCATTTTTGCCTTTATTTACTACTTAGCAAAGAATTTACATTAGTGTGTAGTTCGTGAACGAACTAGTTCCAATGAACTATTCCGACCCCGGAATGAAAGGAACTAGTTCCAGGTTTCTCAAAGAACTAGTTCCTCAGGACCTATTCTGGGATCGAGACTGTGACTGATATAGAATAATATGCGACGGCGACGGATCGGCTAGCGCGCGTAGCCCGATGGTAGGCAGGAGTGGGAGTGCCAGTCGTACGCTATCGGATCCGGATGTAGAGGAACTAAACTAAATAAAAGACTAGTTTACGGATCGTGCCAGCGCGATCGTTTCTAGGTAGGAGTGGGGAGTGCCAGCCGTATGCAAGCCGTATGTTATCGGATCCGGACCTAAAGGAACTAGAGGAAATAAATAAAAGACTAGTTTACGTATGGATCAGCCAGCGCGATTGATGCTAGGCAGTTGGCAGCTTGGGGAGTGCCAGCCGTATGTTATCGGATCCGGACATAGAGGAACTATTAAAAGACTAGTTCACGGGAATCTATTCAGTCGGCAGATCCGAGATATAATACAAGGCTGCGACGATGGATTCGGCCTTGTCTATTGCCACAGCCGTCGCGGCGTAATTACCACAGAAAATTGTCGTGAATTCTGTTTTTGATTTTTAGTTTGTTTTTTAAATATTTTATGGGAATGTTTCACTTTAGGTCCCTAAAATTAAGAAATATCTTATAAAACGAAGTAGATATTCTGAATTTTTAGACAAAAACAAAAAGCTTGAAGTGAGGAAAAATGCAATTTTTCGTAAAAATTTTTGTAATATTTGCTCCAATTGAATTGTGATATAGTTTTTTAAATTCTGATTTGAGTTTTTTTTTATTTTTTTTTATCTGCAATAAAACGTACCTATATGTTTTTAAGATACACAATTACACGTCTCGTTATATCTCCGTACATTATAAAAATTATACAGATCATACTGTGAATAGTTCTGACTGACAACGAAACGCATTAGCAAGCAAGGGGATGTCAATGTTAGTTGGGAACTATTGTGAACTTAGTGACCTAGTTCAAGGAACTATTCCTCTGGAGGAACTAGAACTAAGGAACTAGTTCCTCCCAAAGAACTAGAATTCCCACCTCTAATTTACATAAGGCAAATTGACTTACCTGGCTTCAGTAGCGTGTCGGATGTTTGTGTTAATAAATAATTATTATAACTTATGAAGGCACTTTTATTAGAATTATATATTTTTATAACAATTTTAATAACTACCAACATTTATTCACAACGTAAAATAAAACAACAAATTATTGAATCTACCCCATGTCTACCCTACATCATATTTTTACACGTTTTCAATAAAATTAGAACGGTACTGATAAACCGGAATTTAAATCAGCCATTTTGGAGTCCCGTCGCGGTGGATCTAAGATTTTTGATGTGCTTCTTCCTTAATCTTTTTATTCAAAGGTACCAACTTATTTCTTTGTGTAAACTACTTTGAAATTAAAATAACAGACACATCTATCATTATCAAAGATTTTTGTCGTTGGACAGACTATACAAAAGTCAAAAACTTATTATTATTAATTTTAAACACTTTAAATCGTCTTCACGCAGTTTAATCTTAAATCTTCGAATTACAGATTTGTTAAAACACACTCCCAAACCCAACCCCGACCATGCAGCTTTGGAACAGGCCATGGCGGCGCTCAGAGAAGTGATGACGCACATCAACGAAGATAAAAGGAAAACAGAAGGCCAAGTGACGTTATTCAATATATTTAACGACATCGACAATTGTCCAGTAAGTAATGAATTATTTATCTAATAATTTATCTTTTTTTTTCTCTATAATTACAATATTTCTTACTTCTTTTTCAGCCTGACATCGTGTCGTCTCACAGAAACTACATTACCAAAGTGGAAGTCACTCAGCTGGGCTCGTCAGACGGTCTCAGTTCGAAAGGCAGCAATCTCGTTTTGTTTTTGTTCAGCGATCAGTTGGAAGTGTGTAAGAAAAAGTCGAAAGCCTTCAACAGTATGAAGAGTCCTTCGGCGTCGGTCAGTAGTTTTCAAATGGCCGGAAAACCAGTGGTCAAGCCCTACAAGCACGTGAAGATGATGGCCCTAAACACAATTAAAAGGGTGCGTCTTAGTATTAATCTAAAATAAGATAAATTTAATTATCCTTCTAAAGATTTAGAGTTTTATTTTAAACGGAACATCCAGTATATTATTCCGATATATTCAATGGGGAATTCATGTCACTTTAAAAGATTATTAAGGTTGGCCACCTCTCAAACAAAAAATTTCCTAGATATTTTCATTTTTATGATTTAGTGTCAGTAGATCTTTATTATATTTGATAAAATCTAGGTGGCTGTGGTATGTCTGTCCAACTAGTTATCATGTTGCGCCAGTTAAAAGAAAAAGTTCTCAGACATTTCCCGACAATGGCAACTTATCCTTCATCACAGAGAATTGATATAATTCTGTTAATTGGTGACTGCAGTGTGCATTCACATTGTAAATGCTCCTGATTTATCTAGTGTGGACTTTTTTATGGGTATATGAAACATGTAAAGGAATTGAGAATTTGATTTCATCTATAATTGAGACAACGACCTTAGCGCGTGGCCGCGGGCAGCCCAGTAGGCAAGCGAGACAGCGACGCGCCGATTTAACAAAATAAATAATTTTAAACCTGCTGTCATTTCGTTAATAATTATCGTAGCGTGTTGATTTTTGCATAGAAATACTCATGAGTCTTTAGCGCTCCGACAAGCCTAAATAACGGGATTATTTTTTATATTTTCGATTTGTTTACATTGCTCGAGCATATTATAACTTTGAGATAAAAATCGCTGTTATAAATTTTAAAACTAACAGATATGAATACTATCACTTAATTAGTTATACATTTAGTTACAACATATTCAAAATTTAGGTCTATCGGTTTATGCTAGCAGTAATAACGAGTATAAATATAAAAATGGTCAGTACAACGCTGGCCGGTTTTAGCGCACGTTCAGCTTTGGTTTTAGTTTTAGCACTATTTTTACAGAAAATAAATTCTGAACTTTGATCAAATACAAGAACGTTATAATTGCCGATATCTCCTGGTTATAATGTAGTTCTTTTTTCAAAATATTGCATTGTTTTAGCTTAAAAAAAACTTGAATTATGCGGCTTTTTTGCGAGAGCTACCTGAGCTGCGTTAATAAAGAGATGGCTATGTACGTTAAGAAGTAATGTGTAACTTTTTTGGGGGAGACTCTGCAGAACTCTATATATTTTTATAAAATGTTTTCACTTAAAATTTTTACCCAAAATTTCATTTCAATATGAACTATTGTATAGCGGAGATATCGTGTGGTGTTGGGATTGAGATCGCATGTTTATAAACCAGATATTAATTTAAAATTTGCCTTGTTTTAGGTCATAGATATTAAAGAGACTGAAGACTGCCAAAAAGTGTTTAGCTTAGTATGCAGGGGGAGCGACGACATGAAAGAAAAATTGTTTTCCTTTGCCATGTCCGACGATGACGTAGACAAAGTTGATTTCTTGAAAACCTTAACCAGAACGATGGCCAACAACGTCTGTAGTGCCGATGCCGTAAGTTTTTTCATATATTTTTTATATTTTAATATATTTTATTCAATTTTCAGGATAAATTTATGGCATATCTTGAACCACAACAACTGGACATTGACACAAGTGATTTGAGCACGAATACCCTTACCAAAGCTTTCAAATTTGCTAAAACGCGATTGAAGGTAATAGAAATAGTTTTATTTTATAGTAATTTAATTATTGGATTCTGTATTTTGATTTTATTAATATTAATTAGTATTTTATTTTTTTAATTTCTTTTAATTGTTTAATTGCTCCTTCTATTAAAAAGAGATTGTAGATTGTACAGGGGGGTTGGAGTTAATCACCGACTTTGTAGATTGAGTTATAACTTATCATACAGTCTCAGGGCTTTACAACAGCTAGTATCTGAAACGATTTTACAAAGGTTAATTCTCTATTTCCGATATCAGTCGTACCAATTATGGCGCGAATAATTGTCGTATCGGTGCACTCAATGATGAGGTGTTCTGGTGTTTCCCCATTTCCCCCCAGAATATGCCTTTGCCGTTGTTTCCTAGTTCAATCTATTGAGGAGACAGTGTCCTGTTAAAAACCCCGTGACAATCCGAAGATTGTTCTTACTAAAATCAATGAAAATATTTGATTTTTCTCGGTCGTAACTCCTGAGAAATTTCTTCGCATGTCTTCGACCGTTGGAGGATTCCTATTGAAGTAAAAAGACGTTATTTGCAGATATTTCATTAAATCAGTATTTTATTTGGATTATATTGTTTTATAATTTATTTTTATTTTGTTATAACTATTTATTTTTATTTTATTTTGTTACAGGTTGGTCGAACGTTCTCCTTTAACAAATCAACGCCATCTAAGCTAAAAAGGGCGGTCAGTTCTATGATGTCACCTTTTGGCAGCTCAACAAATCTCACGCCTGCGTCGCAACTTGCCAACATGCGATTGGCCAGCTATAGTAATATCAACGTAAGTATTAGATTGTTAATGTTCGACTAGTGTTGTAAATAAGCGGGCACAAGTTCGATTTGCGTTTATTTTTCACTCACTATGTATTTTTGACTATTTTTCGAGGTTAGACTATAATAACTATAACTAATTCTTATCCATGAAAGTACCATATGAAAAAAAAACTGGTAGGGCATGACAATCGATAATAATTTTGATGAGATATTGACCTCTAGACGTCTTTTACTAAAAATTGACCTGACACGCCGCGGCCTTGACAGACTAGATAACTAGAAAAAAATGGTAAGGATCGCACGATCGCACCAAATCGCACATTACACCAAAAAACATTTGATTTAAAGCTAAGAAAATCATTATAATAAACTTGATACTGTACCTGATGGTGTAGCAATATCCTCTGGTTGTGTTCTAGGAAGTAAATTTTCATGCATATTTTCCTCGATAGGTAGGTTTGTAGCTTCTGAATAACGGTCTAGATAAACCATCTAGCTCATTGGCTAGCTCAGAATTAGAATTATTAGAGTTAAGCAACTTTGCATTAGAGAACATTGTCATATTTCTTTCAAACCAATTATCAACAAGAATATTCGTATAATTTAACAAAATTACTATAAATCACTATAAATACGAATTGTTGGTTAGGTTCAAAATTTTTTCTCTTCTTAAATAAATTTAAGCTTTAATATTGTGTATTTTGGTTGATATTCCACTATATTTATAGGTTATTGAGGAAACAGAAAATGTACAGAAATAAATTGAAAATAATATTTATATTAAAACATGGCATTAAAACATTATATGTCACTTTTTCAAACATGTCCTTCAAATCCTCCAATTTAATAGCTGTCAGTAAGAAGTTTCACTTCAAATATGCACAGACTGTTTTTTTTTTAATTTTAAACTACACCATTGAAAAATCATTTTTACTCAATATAAAAATAAATTACAATCTAGTACGAGAGCTAGCAACGTCGGAAAAACAAGTATTTTTAGACGTCTGGCTCTTTGACATATCTTTTACTATGCTCTCTAGAACAGCATGCGGCCCGTCTGGCTGCCGGTAAACGTTGCGTCCCCTACTACGCATTGAAAGAAGGTCCTATATTTTTATTAGTCCTTTAAATTCTAGTATTGAATATAAATCGAACATGCCTTCATAGCGCAGTGCGTAGTTTCCGACCACGAACCGAACGCGCTGAGGAGACATGTTCGATGTATATTCAATACTAGAATTTATAGGACTAAATTAAAAAAAAATATATAGGATCTTCTTCCGATGCGCAGTAGTGAACGCAACGGGTATCGGCAGCCAAACGGGCCGCATGCTGTTCCAGAGAGCAGAGAGAGCCAGACATCTTAAAATACTTTCTCGAAAACGTTGCTAGCTCTTAAGGTACATTCGGGCTGAGAGCGTCGAGCGTCGCGTCGAGACGTCGACGAGCGTCGCGACGTAAACGCGACGCGTCTGAATGTACCTTTAGACTATTCTTAAAGCCAATTGGCAGTAAGCGCCATTTTTTTAATCGATCGTGTGGTATATATCCCATCAAAAACAAAATTTAGTTTAACTACATTTTGAGGGAGTTCTTTAAAAAGTTTCAAATATTTTTTTTTTCTAAAATAAAATGGGGAAAACTTATTCCTATGTCCAGGTCGGCGATACAACAGACTGTATGCCTTCTCAACTTTTTTAATATATTTTAATAGACATAATTGTTTTTTTTTCAGGAATTAGGCAATAACACGGAAAATTCCAACGATCCCCCTCCAGTGGCACCCATGTCAGTACAACCGACTCGCAAAGTCAAGTCCACCTCCTTAAACGTGAACACTTTCAAAAGATTATAATATCTTTCGAGACTCTTTTCGCCATTGTTTGTGTACATAATTATTTTAAGTTTGTTTATAAACTATATCAGTCTTTTTAAGGAGCAAACGTAGAATATTGCTGCATTTAAAAAATTATATCGTTATCAATTTTTCGAACTTGTTTTTGTGACATCTAGAATTATTTTATTCTTTTAGTTTTATTGACGTATTTGTGATTTTAACCTGTACACATACCTTTCTTATTTTTAACTATTTATTTCGTATGAATTTTCTGTACATGTATTTTTAAATTTTAAACATTTACTATACCGTACGATCCAGAAAAAAACGGCGTCATAGTAGCCAATCAAAATTATAATTTTTAACGACTATTGTGACGCTTTTTTTGTTTATGAAATTACATGAACAATTCTTTTGATGTCCTAGCGAAATATATAACGGTGATAATTTTTTTATGTAGTGGGTTTTATATTTGTAAATTTTTGCGCTCAAAATATCTAAGACAATAAATACCGAGTGAGTAATAAGTGCATATTGTAAATTTTATAAAATACGTGTGAGAACCCGATGGTGTCGAGACATACGCGTGTCATACTCGATTATTTTAGATTTCCAACTTGTGTAGTTTTTTACTATATATTGTTATAGATTCACCTTATAGGTGATTTAATTTAAGCCAGAATGTAAAAATTAATAATTTATGCAGCTTGAAGGAATCTGTGTTTTATTTTACCTAAATTAAAAAATAGTTTTGTTGTAATGTTCTTAAATACCATTTTTTTTTATTTGCTGATGTAGGTAGTAGAAGGGTAGTAGCCTTGTATATGAATTTTTAAAGTAGCTCAACCTAAGACATTTATGGATGTAAAGCACCAGATGGCGGGGCGTATTTCACGGTTTTTTACTACAGAGAAATATTTTTTGTTACTTTGAATTTTGAAGCGACTAATAAAAACAGAGAAAATAAAAATCGATGATTTTCGGACTGTGCCAATTGGTTACTAATCGACCAGATACTTTTTATTTATTAGATATGCTATAAAAGCTTGTAATTATACAATTCGACCATTGTAAATACCCGACAAATTTCGCAAGGCCGACGAGGCCAATGCTTTTCACTGATAAGAAAAAAAAATGTTTGTTTAGATAATTTTCGAGATATTTTTTCTTTCTGAATGCACATTTTTAAAGTATTTTATATTCTTTTTCCGCTTGATCTATTATACTGGTCGCACCTATCGAAGTTCTGTTTCTTCTAGTTTTAAAAAATGTTCTTATTTCTTTATAGTGGTTGTAGTGTAAAATTAGATTAATTTTATTAAATTTAATTATAATGTTTAGTGTAGAATACCACAAATAGTTTAGTAGTGTTTTTATAGTTTATTATTTTGTAGTTAAGTAGTAGGTGAAGGGATAATTTGGTTATTTTTTCATTTTGTTTGATTAATTAGTAAGTTTGATAATTTTTTCAGTGAAGAATACAAGAAGTAGTTGTGTAGTGTTTTTATAAGAGATTATATTAGTTTATTTTGTAGATGAGTAGTAGGTAAAGGTATTTGGGTATTTTTTCTTTTTGTTTTTCTTCTAATTGTGGTGTAATTCTATTAAGTATTGTGATAGATACACTATATCTTCCTTCAACTTCGTTGAAAAGTGCACTATCATCTAATTTTGGTTTTCTGGTAGTAGAATATACGAAAAAAAAATCTGATCAAATTTATTTTAAATTAAATTAATCCAGTCTTATTAATCAAATTAATCTAGTCAAATAATAATAATAGTTAGTTTCTATTAGTTTCTAAATACTACACAGGGTGAGTTTCCTACGATGTTCTCTATGGGTGTCTCGGAAACTACTGGAGACTGGAGATAGAGAGTCGGTTAAATGGGGAAAGAATTGCAGTTTTGTGGGGTCATAAATATGCGCTTTTCGGATTTTTCGGAGAAGTTCAAGGCTTTCTAGATATTTCGAAAAAAACGAATTTTGGCTATTTTAAAACTTTTGTCTCTAATTCCATTATAATCTACCGTATGATCGAATAAAAACGGCGTCAACGATGTCTATGAAATGAAGATCGCTGTCATTTTTTATGTAAAATGATATGGGAAATATCATCGATCGTCATTTCATAGCCATCGCTAACGCCGTTTTTATTCGATCATACGGTATTTTAGACAAAAAGTTTTCACATAAAAGTTGTAGATAATCACATACCTAATGAGTTTGTGTTTTCTGTTTTCTTTTTCTAAAGCCTGTCATTTTTGACATATATGACACAAACGTTACGTTTTCTCGAATACAGTTCTAGATAACTATATGGTAGGTACTTTGGTACAAGAGAAAAACGTTGTATCTTTGGTTGCTTAATCTAAAAAATACATAAAAACTGCCAAAAAGTGTATTGGCGTTGCTTTTTTCCTAATTATTTTGGATAAGATAAGGTATCCCGGCCCTTTGAGACGCCACTGAGTTAAGTTTTTTTACAGCGGGGATAAAGAAATCATATTAAATGATATTCCCATATAAAATGACAGCGATCTTCATTTCTAGCCATCGCTGACACCGTTTTTTTTTCGATCACGGTATTTGAAGCTTCATGCAGTATATATCTGAAAATATCTTTAAATGTCCTCTATTATTACCCATATATTTTAATTCTGAGGCACTCTGTATAAATGTCCTTTTTACGTAAAAAATGTACAACTTATTTGAATTTTTGCGAATGTTAATATATCTAAAATAATTAATTAATAATAAGACACTTACCTGCATTTCATATCTATCAATATAATGCCTATAGAATAATAATTTTTATTCATATATGCATCAATTATTCTGTTTAATAATTTTCACCAAACTAATCAAATTATAAATATTCTCATATTTATTGACAGGCTGACTATTGTAGCGTTTATTGCAGCAGTAGTTGCAAAAACCACGCAAGAGTGCCATGGAAAAAAAAGTGTTGAAATATACGTACTTGTCATTTTTTATTGTTATTTCGCAGACATATTTGATTCTCAAATACGTGATAAATATTGATATTAATTATTGTGATGTAGTGAGTAAATAATTTTTAATTTATGTAAGCGTTTTTTAATACGAAAAATATTTGTACCTACTAGGCAAGCTGGACAAACGTCGAAAATATATAGAAACGTTATGGCGAAAAAAGTTAGCAATCAACTGACTGAATTTGAAAGAAGAAAATAGGTAATTAGGTAAGTTTATTAAATTAAAATTATTTTAAACGATTTCGACATTCAGCTATGATTCTTGATTAAGTTCAGCTATAGGTATTTTTTATTTTAAGTTCTAAGCCAATTTATGGTAAAAACGGTAGCTATTATATTGATTTTATTAACATACAGGGTGGTCATCCGAATAGTAATCGGTACACTTCGACAAAAAAACATATTTTTTCCGGGTTTTCTTTGACATGAGCAATTTGATTTCGAGACTGGCCTCAAGATATTTGAAGGGTCCAGGGGAAAAAACAGCTGAGCACAGAACAGCTAGCGGTTATCAGGTTCTTTCTGTGTATTCTATATTTTTACTAGGCAACGGCCCACCTACGTCGAAACACCGGTTCCCATTAGAACACCGAACTTAAGCGACGTAATGCGATGCTAGTGGTGATGGACGGGTGAACCGGTGACCGGTTCGAAACCGTGCATCGTGTTGTTGTCCAAAAACGGCAAAAGTGTAAAATCTATTGACGCACACACTGCTCATTCACGCTGGTTCGAGGCCGGATGAGATCGGATATCTCGTGAGTAAGAGTTGATTTAGGCACTTGCCAAGTCGGTAGGCCATTGACCATGATATGGCCGAGGACCGCGGTTCGGATTCCGCGTAAACAAAGTAGGCCCCGTCCAGATTAGCCCTGGTAGCAAAAAGGAGACGTTAACTTGAAATCTTTACTTTATATTTTTACTAGGCATATGTCATAGGATTTAACAACTTATTGCTCTGTAGAGTTTATAAATTTTGTAGGGACCAGTTAGACCTACTATAATATTGCAAAATCCGAAAATTAAGAAATTGGCGCTTATCAAGTTTTTCTCCTGGACTCTTCATTTGGAATCGACACACATGTAACGCATTGACAAAAATTAAACAAGTTATTAGAGTGAAATAATAAATGTGAAATGTTTTTCTTTTGCCAGAGGTTTGACAGAGACTGTTTTATCTAGAAAAATTTATGAGTAATTTAAAAAATAAAAAAATCCCAAATTTTTCAGTTCAGTCAAATAACAATCTAGCCAACATTTGTTTAATTTTTTTCAATAATAACATGTATTGAATAATTCGATTCCAAGTAGACTTATATCTATGAAAGAGATTTTTTTAGTCGGGGAAAAAAAAGTTTTTTTAATTTCACTCAGAATGAGTTATTTCGGTCATAAATGACCTAAATACAAAATATTTTCATGGTGTCTGTCTGTCTGTCCGTCTGTAACACGATAACTCAAAAACCGCTAAACCGATTTTAACCAAATTTGGCACAAAAATACTATGGCACCCGAGAATCTGACCATTAGTTTTTGGTGGGGGTGGGGGGTAGGTAGGGGGGTACGGGAGGGGGTTAAAAATTTAAAAAAATCGTAACTCCAAAATTACAGCAGCTAGCGAAACGCGGTTTTTAAGGGATAAAGGAATAATATTTGCAACAAAATTTGTAATAACATCAAAATGAGTCAAAGTCGCAGTTTTTGAGATAAAAAATATCGAAAAATTCCTTTACTTTGAAACTAAAGAACTGCCTACTAACTTTTTATTAACATATTTTAGTATGGGCGGCTATACGTGCCTTTTTTTATTTTACTTAAAAAAAACGGCGGAAATGTATATTTTTCTCTCAGTATGTAATACAGGTTAGTAGTGTAGTACGGGAGAAAAATTATTACCATCATTAATATATACAGAGTGATTAAAGAACTACACCACTTCCAATATTTTACCACATGTTTACCACACATATTTTTTTTCTTTTTTATAATTTTGAAATTAAAATTGTTCTAGTATACACGGTGTTTTGCGCGAACAATTTGTGATTTTATTCGGCTAAAATAATTTCTAGATTTTAGTAAGTACTTAGATGTCATTTTGATAATTTTAAACGGAACATTCTATATACAGGGTGAGTCTTAAATAAATGCAAATATTTTCAGGGCTGGTAGATCTCGCTAAAAGAAACATAATATTTTCTCTTTACCATTTTTCAACCATTTTGAACTTATCTTACTTTGAAATTTAAAAAAAAATCTTCCATAAAAAGACAGAAAATACAATTCACCTGTAAATTAAATAATGACAGACACAACTGTCACTATCCCCGGATCCTTGGACAGGCTATACCTAAATTTAACCGTTTCTGTGAGATATTTTAAATTTCATGTCAAAAATGACATTTGCAGAGCGCGAACTAATTAAATATTTGTCAGTGTCTCGTCGTTTTTTAACAAACTTATGTTGTCTCCTTGTTGAGGAAGGCATACCGTAAAATGGGGTGAATAGAAACATAGTGGTGAATAGAAACAAAATTTCTGAAAAAAATCAAATCACGATTAAAAATATTCAAAGTAAAAAGAGTCGACATATCTAATTTTTCTATCATTGGTAATACACAATAAAATGTAAAAACTATATTTTTATCTGTGGCCTATTTATCGCCTATTTTGTATGGCGCGAAAACTTTATAAATAAAATATT